GTGTGGACTATTAATTACCATCAAAATGTCTCCTTCTTGCTTGTGACAAAGACTCGCTTTCTAACATGCTGTAGCATATGGCACAAAGACATCTTTTCTCATATTTTCTTTCCTTTTTAGGGCCTATATGGCCCATTATCATTCCTAACTTTATTCTAAGGCTATAATTACAACCTAATAGGCTTGTTAATCCTCTTAAACCACACATCATACTGACTTACCTAATTACCCTCAACTACTAACCCAAACTTGTTTAACTTGGTTAATTTGGGTTTAAGTTTTTTTGGGATGTTACAAACTCTATTTTAATGGCCCTAGCCAATAAAGCCTAGTAGGTAATCACATTAGTCTTATGTAACATTTGAAACTAGAGAACGACGTCTCCTTCAAAATAATGGTAGCCAAAATCACCCTATATAAGTATGGCATTTCACATTTCACAATAGGCAAATACTATTATTCATGAAATATCTAATTCAATGGGTTAATACCATTAAATTTTAGAATATTTATTTTTATTTAGTGCACCACATATGACGAGGAGTCGGGGAGGGAGTCTTTCCATTTTCTCCCCTCTATTTCCCCAATCTCCACTATTCATTAATTTTATAATTAAAAAATAATAATTTTAATGGTGGGGATTATTGAAATGGAAGGGTAAAAAAGGGAAAAACCCCTCTCCCAAGCCGAGGAGGGAGTCTCTCCTTGAAGAGCCCTTATTAGAGCCAATTTCTCTCTTTTTCACACACGAACTATGTTGATCAATCAATCGATTTTGCATGTCTATAATGTAGCTAGGATTTTCAATAGTCAATTCCATTGCTGTAACTTTGGTGTTAAGTGCCTTAGTTAAATTTTTGACAAGCGCCTCAATCCTACTCAACCTCATATATGAATTTGCTTCTATCTACTCCACTCTATCATTTTCCAAGTACATATGTTCTATCTAGTCACTCAAGGTTTTTACCTTAACTTGCATATCCTTGAACCTAGTAGCTTTCACCATTCCTCTCAATGAAAGCAATAAATTATTGTGCTCTTAAAATGAAAATATGCATAATAATGGAAATGGATGAAATATCTGGATGTATCATTCAATATTAGTTTAGTGTGAGTATATGAACATGAAAATATCTAGAAAGCAAAGGAATCATATCCTTAGTAATAGGCAAAAATGGAAGAAAAACCAAAAGTGTAGAATAACCACCAGGAGTCTAGAAAGAAAGTAAGAAGCAGTAAAGAGAGAGAAGACAACTCACAATCAACACCCACTCCCTTAGTGTCATAACAGACTATATTACCTCATTCTTCTCCCAACACCAAGGTGGCACATCTCACTTGTGTACCCATTATAAGCTTGCATTCTCAATTGTCCCATCTGATCCATTTGTTGATCATGGGTCCTAGGCCTGTGTCATCTAGGTCTTTATTTATAGGCCTCTGAGTCCATGGTTATGTTGTGACATCCATGGTGTACAACAGGTTTTAGTTTGAGGAGTTCAATTAAAAGATCTATTTATAATAAGAGTGATCCATGGCCTTGAGCCTTAAGTCATAGAAGAATTCCTTCATGCTTCCCATAAGGATAGAAAAGAGTAAAGTAGCCAGTTAAGCAGTTAGTCCTAATCTTAGGCACACAAGCTAGTTAGAGCAGTGCCTTGTCAAAGCTCAGCTTTTAAGATTCTCTTACTAATAGAAAACAATCTTTCTTTCAGGAAAGTCTTCTGCTTCTTGGCCTAGCCCAAATCTTCTTGAATAAACTAAAATTTGCCCTATGGAATTAAGCCTCTTAAGCTCAAGAACAAAAATTGGCAGCAACTTGAAATGCTATTCTAAAGCCCTACCCTACTCTTCATCGATGCATATAAATGGGATTGTAAATCTAGCCATTCGGCTATATAATTAAAAGTCTGATGAATTGAACAAGTATATTAGTTGAAAAGTAACATAAAAGAACAAAGTCAAATTTATTAGGAAGGAAGACAAAATTAGCTCGACGGTCAAATACAATCAGACAATAGTGTTGTGCATGCCCCCAACTATCTCTTTCTCCTCTCTCTTAGTTTTAGAAGTAAGAACTCTCACTCTCCCTTCTTCCCCATTTCTGCTACCTACCTAGAGCTCTAATGTCACAGCCATTTCTCCAACTAAGCTTAGGAGGCCCAGAGCATGTGGGCTAGTTTAGTATCGATGGCTCATTTGGGTTCGAGTCCGATTCTCTTCTAAACTGGATTTCAGGAATGACTGGCCCGACCCACGTGGAAAAGGAAACACTTGGTGGGGCAAGGATTAGGAGAGGGTTAAAACATGCAATTATTTCCATCCATTGTTCTAATCCCAATAATATATTCCATGAGTTGATGGCACTTGATCGGTGATTGAACGAATAAATAAATCTTAGTCTGTAAAGTCTTTAAGACACGTTTCATGGGAAATTGTTGGACAGTTTCAGATTATGCATATACTGTAATTTTGTATTCTCTCTTATTTTTGCGTCAGACAGGGAGATGAGAAGAGGTTGGTTTTCGTTCCCGCCAGCATGACCCGTTCCTTCCACCTCGACCATGAGCAACAATTAATTGTTATTATTTAAATATATCCTCTGCTCAATGGTATCAATACTAGGATTTCTTTTCCTTTCCCTTTCTCATCTTGTTACCTAGTTTTTGCTTTTTAAGCGTGTCAAATGATCATCATGAGTTGAAGCAACCATCTTCGTTTTTTTTCCCGTCATTTATGCTTTTATGATAAAAAGATTGAGTTTAAATGCAATCACTCACCCGGCCAAAAAAAAAAACACAACAGAATAACTCAAGGAGATGTAATCATTTGAAAATTACTCATGGGATGAAAAAGAATAAGACTCTACTATTACCCTAATCATAAAAACGGTTACTAGTGCTTTGATGCTTTATTTCCTTATTCTTAAAGCTATCATTCCCATGTTTTTACCCCACGACGATATTTAAATGGATTACAGAATCTTGTAAAGTTTTCCCCCACTCCAAAATGGAATATTTTAGTTTTAATTGAAATAAAGGATAGGGAAAGAGATTTCAAAATAAATGAAATAAAATACCATTTGCTATAGCTTGTAAGATTCTGGGCCACTGTCAAAACAGATATCTGATCAAAATCTGCTCGTTCAAAGAGAACTGCGCGTGTTATTCAGTGAAACTATACAAATGGACAAAAGATGGGTTAAATGTGAAAAAATAGTTGAAGAAGAGGCACATGCAGTGTAAGGTGTGCATCAGAGGAAGTATAAGAAAGTAACTTTGGTCATGGAGGGTGAGAGACCACCACAATATTAAAATCTGATTCGTCCGCAGAGAGGAAAATCAACTGAAAAGGACAGCACGCTCAAATAAATAAAAACATCAAAGCTCCAAGTTGAGATTTGACAAACAGGTTAGCCTCAACTAAATATTGCAATTTGCAAATAAGCTCCCTGAATATCCCTTTGCGCTGTCATCTATAATGGCACTGATCTTGTCATGATTTTAGAGTCTTGATATCAGATTCGTAACCATTCTCAAATTACAATTCACACTTCATAGCACCACAGGCCCATGTGCGTTTGGATGGGGATGCCACTTTAGTTCTGAAAGTTTTGACCAAACCAAAAAGAAAAAGTTTCTGAAAGTAGTTTAGAGGAACGCGCGTATCCCGCCATTTCAAATGACACTTTCAAACTAATTAGTGAAATTCTTGAACAAAAAGTCAAGTAGTTCTGGATTACAACCTCATTTAATTTCCCTTTGGTGCTTTTCCACTAGGCGAGTCAATCGAAATCGGGTGATTATATATGTGCATGCAATTTTTATTCAACTAAAGAGGCTTTCCGTAATGATAGCAAGGGTTGGTGGGTGCTGAAGAAATCATGGCAGTGATTGGTTGCTTGACAAAATCAACGATGAAAATGCTCCGCCTTTCATACCAATTTTTATGTGAAAGCACAACAAAAACATAACTGATGGACTTGGTTGAAAAAATGGAATTTAATCCCTTTCATGTGCTGTCGCAAATCTAGATATGACATGAAGCTGCGCATATATTGCTACAGGTAAGTCTCATTATCATGTAACTAATTATGCAGATAATGGCTTCGGATCAAGCATGTGATACATCCACTACTTGAATGCTACATGTCTTCTGATATAAAGGTGCGGCAGTAAAAGTGCTTTTATTCATACATAATTTGAAAGAGTTCAACTTGGCATAGTAGAAGACACGCTGAACAGTTTATCTCAGAGGAACTCACGATAAGGGCTTCACAGATGAAGAAGCTGCAACATATATATTTCTTACTATTTTTATATAATGCTTAATTTCACCGCTTCAAGTTGCCCAAGATAATCGCTTGCGTTTGCATGCAATAAGTTCAACATGTGAACTGACTGCTTCATAATCAGGAAGTCTCATTTCAGCAAATATAAGGCACAGAAATTTCCTTCTTCACTATTACAACGAATTTAGCTTCAGGAGTATTGGGTTAAACTGAGACAATTTGTTTGCTGATGCTCAAGCTCAAACAGTTCAGGGAAGTCAAAGTGAGCAGTTTTAGAAAGTTCACTTGTCTCGCTTATTTGGGTCTTTCTCCCCGCTACAAAGCAAGCCAAAAAAAAAAAAAAGGATTTTGGTGTATTTAGTGGACTTTTCAGCTTACTCCGCCCCTGCTACATTACCCTCGCTCCTGGCATTCTATAGATGCTAACAGGAGAACTTCAGCAATATTATTCATTTAGTCATGTCAGTACTAAGTATACATCTTAAGACTTTTCCAGAGAGTAAAGAATGAGAAACGCTTGGAAACAAATACCCTTTTCAAAGAAGCAGAACCGTAGGCACTAGACACTGATACCTCAATATTCTAGCTTCTTACGTTAACAGTAGCATTGTGAAGGAAAGATTTCAGGTGGTGAATGTAGAAGCAAAGCAGCAAAAGTGATTAAGGGACTGCAGCAAAAAGTGTTAAAAAAAAAAATCCAACACAAAAATTTGGAAAATATGATTATGAATCTGTAACATCAAACTCACAAATAGATAAGCACTCCTTGAACAAGAGAGAAACAGAATAATTGACGCTTTACATAGTGATCATAAATAACACCTCTGAATCAAACAAGAGTTTTAAGCCCAAACCCAAGCCATCTGGCAGCGCAATTCCATCTGCAAGTTAACATCATAAACAACAATTATAACACATGCGGATACATACCAAAAGTGAGTAAATAGTAGAAACCTTGAACTCGAAGTGAAGCACCTGTTCCCGGCGACTTGAGTACTGCAGTGCAGAAACAAGAAGGGATAAACCAAATCCAGGTCCTATTGGAAGCTCTGAATCTGAGGCATCCATGTCCTGGCGTCTTCCAAAATATACAGCACAGAAGCCATCGTTGAAACTTCAGCCTCTGGACATTGCTACATTTTTTTTTCCAAACTCATTCAGAAAAATCTACTGCCCTGCAGAACATTGAGAATCATCCTCAGCAGGAGGATGCTGATGCTGCTGTAGGTGAACTCTAGCTTGACCCATCTGCTGGTAAATCTGGGTCAAGGCTTGTGGGTTCAAAATCCCTATGGGACCATCTTGAGACAGCCCCAGCTCCAAACCAGGAATCTGCTGGTTACTACTCCCACCCAAGATTGAGGCAAAATTCATAGGACCCATGTTTGTGGCTGATGCTGCAGGCAAGTCAAAGACAGGGAACCCAATCTTTTGTAGGTAATTTGAACTCTCAGACCCTAAACTAGGTGCAGATGGACCAGAAGATGATGATGACTGAAACCCAAATCCACTGACAGAAGGCCATAGACCTGTGGCCACATGGGGTCTCCCCAAATTCCCACCAACCATTGCCCAGCTGGTCCTACTGCCTGACCCTATATTGGACCCCCCTAATTCATCCATTTTTGGGTGCAATCCTGCAGATAGAGAGGTCCCCTCTTGCGAAACAGAGCCCCCAGCTGCGGCTAAAGCAGATGCCGGTATCGTCCCGGTTCCGGTGGCTGCGACTATCGACGGCTCCGCCTGCTGGAGGAGCCACTGAATGGTTTCTCCATCAGATTTGTGACCCAATTCTCTGGTCAGCTGAAAGATTCTAGCCGCACACAGTGCAGGCATCCTAATTCTTCTGCCTCTGCCTTCCACCTTGGTGTGTCTATCTTTGTTGGAAGCTCTCTTGGGGGCTAGCTGCTTGTTCTTGCTGTTTTCTTCTTTTTCTGCAATGGAAATCTGGAAATCCCTCACTTCGGCCGGCCCTTTATTGTTCTCCCCCATGTTGGATTGTGGCCGTGGGAGACTCAAGAACTTGTTGTTGGGCGCCTCATCTGGCTTTTTTGAGCCCTTGGGATCCATGAACAAGGCAAGGTAAGGGAGAAAATTATAATAATAAAATTAATAATAGCTGGGTCCTCTTTGATAGAAGAAGGCGACCTGAAAAGTCCTCAGCTTTCATGAGTTTTACACCGTTTTTGGCAAAGATTGGGGGACAGACAAACCATTAAATATTAAAATCCCAATGTGCCCCATGCCAAGTATTTCTTTCGGAACCAACTTCAAAATTACATCATTCCCTCTTTTATTTCAACAACTTGAATAGAATTGAATTTTCTCTCCTCAAAAGTACAATATATATATATATATATATATTTCATGTATAATTCTCTCCCCCTCTCAGTGATTAAATTTACGGAGGACGGTACAGTGTTTATCTCTGGTGAATTCGTAGATAGTGCGACCTTTGTTACGGAGGAGCTGTCAGCGGGTTTTGACCCGCGCGATGCGAAAGCAACTTTAACGGCCTCTTTCATCTCTCACACTCGCACGCGACAACCCCCCTCTCTCTGTCTCTCTTCCCTGCACACCATTAGTGTACGGACATACTTAGTAATTAAGCCCTATGCTATTCCACTACATTCCGTCCTCAATACATAAATCTCATGCATCCCCATAATTGCAACACCGAAGTATGAGGCCACGTGGTAGAGTGTGATAAGAAAGCAGCGATACTTCTCAGTTGTCATGTCATTCAAACAAGATGAGATGAGAGCGTACAATCATGAAACACAATGAGAAAGGAAGAATTTTGAAAGAAACGGAAAGGATGATGGTGGATCAGCATTGAGGAAATAGTAGCATTGTGGTAAGAACAATGAAAGAAATGGTGGGTCCCTCTATTCCCTAGACAAGAGAAAAGAAGAGAGCAGAGCAGGAGGAGGTAGCTCCTTGTTCACAAAACAGATCAGAGTACCACTTCCAATGATCACTGTTGAATTGGATTATTGTGTCACTCTATTTGTTCTTATTTTCATCATCTCCTCAGTTGCCCGGTGGCAGGCCTAGAGTCCACTTGCCTTGGAAAACTATATCCACTCTCTTTTCTGCCAGTTAATCAAAAATTAAATATTCAGCTTTAATTAAATTACTATCTTATTCAGGGCGGACCCACATTGTAGGGAAGAGGGCCTTAGGCTCTTAGTCCCTCCAACCTCACGCACAGGGAGGAGAAGGGAAAAAACAAAAAAAAAAAAAAAGCGATCGCAGTCATAAGGGAGGGGGGATGATATGGCAAAAGAGAGAAGAGAGGGCCACGAGATGGTGAGAAAAGAAAAGAGGGGGCCGCGAATGTGAGGGATTGAGATTTGGACTCAATATTTTATTTTTTATCTGTTATGTATTTTTCAGTATCAATTAACTTATTTTATATTTAATTAATATATTAAAAATATAAAATTTTAATTAACTATTTATTCTCTTTATTCTAATTTATAAAACATTTTTTAGGACATTCAATATCATAATATAAAGTTTCTTTGATAAAAATAAAAATTTATTAATTATACTTTTTTAATATTATTTTCTCATTATATTCTCCCTCTTTAGTTTATAAATAGACTATTAAATAAAGAATATTTTTAAAATTTTATATTTTTAAAAAAATTGAAGTGTATTTAATAAGTTTTATTAATATGTATAATTTTTTTAAACAAATGTCTTATAAATTGAAATGAAAGTAATATAATACTTCCTTCGGCCCTTAGAACTATGGCACCTTTTAAAAAGATTTTTTAGTTCTTAATGTAATACACTTGATAAGATATTTATATACATTTTTAATATTATTTATATTTAAAATAATTAATTATTAGAAATAATATAATGGGATTTGAAAATTTTTATATAAATATAAATAAAATTAAAGTTTATTCTATTTATATTATTATAAAGACCTGAGAGACTAGTTAATTTTCAGAAAATCCACACCCAACAAAAAAGTTTTGAAAGAATTACATTGAAGTCATATATAAAAAAATTAATTGCTATAACTTTCATTGACAATTAAATTAAGACCATTAACAACTGATTGTATTGTTAATAAATTTTATAGTAATTAATTTTTTTACATAAAATTTATTTATAATTCTCTCATAAACCGTTTGAGGTGGGTTCCGCCAATATTCTTTATCTATTTTATATTGACATTAAGAATAGCTATCAACTGTCTTTTTTATTTTGTTCGGATTTTTTTTACCTGGATTTTTTTTTCATATAATACACTATGAATATTAATTTATTTTTTAAATATTTGATTTTTATTACAAAGTATACATATTAATATATAGTTGGATGGAGTTAAATAAATATTTAAAGAGAAATGTAAAGAATATTTTCTTCCAATAAAAATAATTTTATTTGAAGCATGTCAAGTGTTGATAGTGGACACCTTTTATAAAGTGGAATTTAACGATATTGAACCATTCAAGAGCGCAGATTGATGCCATTTGTCGTCTGCTTGTTGCAGATGCGTGTGTGTGATCCTGTAATTATGTGTGCGACTGTGCGTTACCCTTTTCTGTGTTCCTCGAGTGCATACAAACACACACATAATTAAATATTTTATCCAAATAAAACTTAATTTTGTTTTACGTGCCTTCTTGTAAGGCTAAAATTCGCTTCATGACTATGGAAACAAGGTAATATTTTATGTTAACCATGGCGGCAGGTAATCACAGGGAAGGTAATTTGTTCACAAAAAAAGGGGTTTGTTTTGTAGATTAATTTTTGTAGGATATTTGACAAGAAATGATAATGGAGCTAGAAATTTCAATCTCAATCGCACTGTTTGTCCAATCCTGAGAAGTAACGTGCAAGTTTGGTGTCCAATCAAAGATTCATGATTATTCATAGGAATGGGTTAGTTGGATGATTGGTCCAAATGAATTTCCTTTGCCTCCAATTTCAAAAAAGTCCATTTAGATTGATATCATTGCCCCACCCCCATCTCTCTCTCTCTCTCTTTCAATCTAAATCAAAATTAAAGGCGCACGCAATTTAATCAAATCATGAGCTTATTGTCTATTTTTTAAAAAAAATATAAAATATTTTTAATTAAATTTTATTCATAATAAAATAATCATTTATTTTTAAATTAATTATATCTTTTTATACTTATTCTTATTTAATAAAGTATTTTATCCTAAAATAAATATAAAATATTTATTCAATATGGATACTTTAAAAAAATAATAATTACACTTTAAAAGATTAAAAATATCTTATATTTTTTAATTAAAGGATTATCTTTTTTATTTAAAAAATCAAATAACAAAATTAATCAAACCCCCATCCATGCATTGTCATGATATTTAAACCACATAATCAATCTTGAATACCATGTCTAGTGATATTTTAAAGCTACTTCTTTCATTTTAAATTATAATATATTTTTAAATAAATCTCATTAAATATACTTAACAATCTTATTTTTTTGCAAAACAAAAAACATAAGCTTATAAAAATACCTTTTCTTAAATAAATTGAAAAGAGAGAGAGAAACAAAAATTAGATATAAAGAAAAAAAAGAATAATATTAAAATAAATTTATTTAATAAAATATTAATCTTTTCAGAATATTTTATATTTTGATTAACCAAATCTCTCATGCAAATATTTTATAATTTGAAGCTGAGAGACTAATTAATATGTCACTAAAGTGCACCTAATACATAGCAAGTTGAAACAAACAATGTCTTTTTCGGGCCAACAAACAACATCAAGCTTATATAACATGTGGAATACAATTGCAGATTTTAAATTAAATAATTGCAGCCTAGGTAGTTCATCCTGAACTTTAAAAGTCGATAAATGTGAGTGAATAATGGTAAATAATATTTTCCATCTCAAGTTATAAGATACTTCTAAATAAATTATACACACCAATAAAACTCATTAAAAATATTTTAAAATTTTATTTTTTTAAAATAAAAATATAAACTTTTAAAAATACCTTTCGTTTAACATTCTATATATGAAAGAATATTGAAGACACAATACAATAAAAAGTATAATATATTAAAAGAACACCATCAATGAAAACTTATTTTTATTAAAATATTTTATATTTTAATATAATGAATATCCTTTAAAAATGTCTTATAATTTAAGATAAAGAGAATAGTTTTTTATTATTCAATATATTTCCACAATTGGTAGGTATAAGATTAATCTATACAAAAAATATGGAGGTCATTTTAGCAGAGTTATCCTCTTCCAAGATTTTTTTTTTCTATACATAAAAGCCACAATGTTATTATTATCCGTGTCACACTCAATTGATTTTAGTGATGGTAAATAATATTTGGTAGGTAAGAGTACGCGGGTGTTAGTGATTGCATGGTGAGTCACAGAGTGCTTCCCACCAGGCAGACAAGAAAGGGCCACTCTTTGAAATGCATTAATTATATATCATACTCTTATATATACATATATAATATATTACTTAATCTTTTATTGCCATGGCCAACACCCAAATCACTCTTATTTCTTTCCTCCCATACCTTGTTTCTTATTTAATTATTCTATAAATTAGTGAGGAAGGTTCACTTCCACAAAGGGATAAGCTTGAATTTGTATCTGACTAATAAGTCTGTCTTGATCGTCACACTTCATATCTCTGCTGTCCTTTTTAATTAACGTGCACTTTGCTTTCAAATGGAAAAGGAAAACACTGTACGTAATCAAGCTTCGATTATGTCGTTTCTGCTCAAGTACCCCAACCTGTTTTTTTTTTTCTTGTTTTTTTCCCAAGTTATTAATAATGCATAATGATAATAATTAACTGGTCTCATCAAAAGTGCTAGCGTGCAGCCAATCAGTGAAGTTATGAGAGGAAAATGAATGAATCCAGGCAGAATTTGGATCTAGTGAATGTCCTGAATCTATTTATTCAATGAATATCTCGTATGATATCATAATAATTGTTTAATTTAATCAAAAAACTGTAAAATATGTTGTTATCTAATATTAAAACAATATCGTATTTTAAATCTTGGGAGAAGATAGTGTATGAAAGGAATGTTCTGAGTTGGGAATTGTTTTAAATTTTTAAAAATAAATGTATCTTGATAATTTTGGAGTTTATTTGGATAATTCTCAAAAGCTTATTCAAATTACATTTGAAATATGTTTTTGCTAAATTCAACAAATAATTAAATCTTTTAAATGAATTTTTGTCAAATGTAAATTAAAAATTAAACACATACTTAGGTTGCGTTTGGGTTTTTAATGTTTAACATTTCAAATTCACTTTTTAACATTCCAGATGTTAAATGTCTTTGAGTATTTTTTATGTGAATAAAATAACTTTTTGAAAGTGGTTAAAATGTGAATTTAGCAACGCAACTTTTTGATGAATTTGAAATTACAAACAAGAGTTAGGTTGTACCTACTTTTATAAATGATCATGATATTCTTATTATGTTTTAATTTTTTCTAATATTAAACTATACATTTATTATTCTTATTATTTAATATATTAATTTTTTTTTAAAATTTTAAACATTTCTAATATATTATATTTATATAAAAAATTATCAATTATCATAAATCAATGTCATTTTCGGTTATTCTATATTTAAAAGTATATTTTAAAAGCACAAATTATCATTAATTTAAATACTTTTCAGTTTATCAAACTAACTTTTAAAAAAATATTTAAATATAAATTTTATTACAATAATTAATTTTTATTAAACTAATTTTCATTAAATAAACTTTTAACAAATATAATTTTCAAATGTATCTTATATACTTTTTAAGTGAATGAGTCAACCAACAAGTCAATATTTATTCCAACTCACAACATGTGGTGTGCAATTAATTAATTACAAATTGTTACAGAAAAATGGGTATCCTATTTATCGTGTCTCCAGAAATATAGGTACTACTGTTTCAGGAAAAGAAAAAGAAAAAGGAAGAAGACCCATTCCGTCATTGAAATAAGGAGCTAATTAAAACCATTAACTATGTTTTAATCAAACTCATTTTTCACCTCAATTACATCAAAAAAGAAATCTATAGTCCTCTTGCATATAATATACTTTTTTCATTAAAAAATATAAAATAATTTTAATCAAATCTCACCCCTAAAAAATAATTATTTATTTTTAAATTAATTTTATTTTTTATATTTACTTTTATTAAAAATTCTATAATAAATATAAAGTTATTATTAATTGAGTTATTTAAAAAAAAATAATAATTATATCTTAAAAAATTAAAATATTTTATATTTTTAAATATTTAATTTTTTAAAAAATATTTTATATTTTTTGAACGGAGGGAGAAATTTGTTCACTTATTTAAGCATCAACTTCGTAGTTCACACAACTTGTAAGAAATTTGTGAACGGTGTTGTCCTTTGTGGTCAGCAATTGACGTTGACAGTTGTTAGGAAGAGCAGATCAAATAACGTATTCTGCCTAGAGGTTTCTTTTTCTTTCATATAAAATAATTACTCAAATTAATAGATTACAGATTTCTGAGTACGGTGATCACATTTTCGTCTAAACTTATGAAGAAATTATTCACTAGATGGTTTATTTTGAACCCAGAGTATTTATTGGTAAGAAATCCAGATTATTTTGCGCATGCATTAAAACATTTTTTTTTTCTATACTCTTTTCATGAAGGTACCTAAAATATTAAAAAATAAAAGTATAAAAATTAATAATAAAATATAAGTGAAGTACATGGACTGAAAGTTATATTTTTTTATATTGCTAATATAATTTAAACCTGCACCTTTGTAAATTATAAAAAAATATAATTTTAAATTTTTATACTTTAATTAAAATTTATTATAAGTGTTTATTTTTTTAATTTAAAATATTAAAAAATAAAAATATAAGAATTTAAAATATACAAAAAATATAAGGGTCGATAATAAAATTTGAGTAAAGTATGAGGGTTTAAATTTATATTTTTGTAATATAAAACTTGTGGTTAGCGGCTGAAATTTTTTGTTGGCTATTATTTTAAAAAAATAATAGTTTAAATAAGTTGAATTTTAAGGTTCATGAAAATATGACACGTCCCCAGGCTCACAGGATGTCATTTTTACGTATCACTCAGCGGCAAAAGTTTCAATGCTATCTTGACCTTCTCATCTCACAAACTTTGTCCACATGTAATGCCATGTGATTAAAACAAAAAAAATATCATTCAACAATTGCTGAGATAATTTAATATTAAAAAAGGGCTAATTTTTTTAAAATATTATTGTAGGATTAAAAAGCTAATCTAAAAATAATTTTAGATAGGAAAAAATTATAATACCCTTACTTGTTTTTTTCTTTTTTTAACTTATTAATTAATGAATATTTTTTTTGTAAAATAAAAATAAATACTTTTTATAATTAGCAAATTGCCACTTATTGAAATATGACTGAATTTATTTTTTTTCCACAATCAAGCTTTTTCATATTATTGAATTTGTTAATTAGTGAATAACTTATTGCTAAATGTAAATAGGCAGTACTCCCTCCATTTTTATTTGTAGAAAAAATTATCACTTTTTATTTGTTTTTTATATAAGAAAAATTATCTATTTCAATAAGTATTTATTACATATTTTTTAAATTACTCCTCATAATTTACATTAATGAAAAATAATTGATGTATACTCATGTTGATTAACATAAAATATTTTAGTCTAATTTTTTTAATTTTTAAACATAATTATTATGATTAACTAACTTTCTTAAATTGTGTGATACGGTTTTTTTATACATAGAAATGAAGGGAATATTTGTTAATTAATAAATAGATACTTATTAAAACATGATTTACACTTACCACTTCCATACAATCAAGCTCTTTCAAATTTTTGAAATTAGAAAAAATAATTTTTTATTAAATACAAATAAGTATTTGTTAATTAATGAATGATCACTTATCAATTTAAAAAGAAAAACATGGAATTATATTTTTTTTATTTAAAATTATTTTTAAATCAATGCTATAGTCTTGTAGTAAAATTCAGAATCCGTTGGTCCTTACTTGATATTAAATAGCTTCGGTATTTTCCCCTAAAAAATCCATGAACATATACAAGGGGGGAAAATTGAAAAAAGAAAAAGAAGCGTGGAACCTACATATGGGTGTGCAAATGAAAAATCGCCATTCGTGGTTTGAGATATGCCACTAAATTGGTTGGATGAGATTCAGCCAAGCTTTCACGATCTTGTTGAAAAATTAAGATTCCAGTGGCTGTTTGTGAATTTACAATCCAAGATGTCACAATCTGTGCCATGTGCCTCATTGCCAAAATTTCCCCAACTACGACTTTAGATTGGCTCGAGGCTATTGGGTTTTCCATTCACACACAGAATCCAACTTTGTAATGCCATTTAAAAAGAAAAAAAAAAAACTCGAGAACTAGATTCTCCAATCTAATCTAATTAAACAACAACAAAATGTCACCGTTTTGCTGCATTATTATATTTATAGCCCTCAGCCACCTAGCTCTCCCACCCACTTCTCTTTCTTTGTTTTTTAACCATTTTCCCTTGCAGAAACTTCAAGTCACTTTCACCCAAATGGGAAAAACAAATTGCATAATTTCTTGAGGAGGGAGGTTTTGATCATACATTTTTGGCAGGAACTGGTCATGCAAGAATTATTGCTGGGTTCTTGGGGAAAAGGAAAAGGCATCATAACGTGCCAGTGCTCATAGCAAAACTAGCGAGAAAAATTGCATGAGTGGCTCATGTTTCGTGGTCCTCATGATAATTCGTACAAGTCATCTTGAGCCCAGGAAATTATGTTAGATAGAATGGGGGACCCGTAGCTTCACTTCATTTATTTTTTCTCCTGATATTTTTGTACTTGAATTGTTGGGCACTTGGTTCTTATTCCAATGATGTTTAGCTCCACGTTGACTCTTGATTCCCACGCAAGATTAACCTGTCTTATTTTACCATAAGTGGGAAGACACCATTTAAAAAGTAACATGAACTTTGTTATTCAGGTATACATGGTTACTGTGTATCCCATAAATGAAAATGGCTGTTTTAAGTCGGGCAAAATTCCAATGGCGTACAATTCCATTTAGGCCACATATTGTTTAAAGTGGCTGCTTTTCTGAATTAGTAAATGTTATCTTATAATTCAAATGAATAAAACAAGTCAATTCTACCCATTAAGTGGGCAAGTAATGATATATTAGGCTTGCTGACGTATTTTAGGATGCTTGCCTTCTTTCTACTAGAAAATTAGCAACATGCTTCAACTCTTTAGGGGGAAAAAAAATAAAGTAATTATTAAGTATGGTAAAATTAGTCAGCTACACCTTACTGTCAGATCTCACATTGAAGGAATTTGAAAAGGGTCTTAATTATATAAGCGGGTGCTTTGCATGCCTCAATAAGCTAGCTTTTTAAGGGAAGAGTAATGATCTCATGACAAAGTAGTATCAAAATTAGACCCGAGTTTGCCCAATTGATGGGCCACCCGTGAGAAGGGCATCACGAATTGATCAGGAGAGTTGTTAAATCCCATCTCAAAGGAATTTGAAAAGAATTTTAACTTTATATAAGTGAGTACGTTGCACATTTTAATAAACTAACTTTTTAAAAAAAGAATAACAATCCCGTGACATTACGCTCTTGTTTTTTTACCACATGTGAACAGAGCGCCCTTTGCCCTGAGGATAAACTGTTTCACTCAGGATAGAAAAGGGAACACATTCAGACCATTTTCCACTTTCAGGAATAGGCTAGTGCTATAGGGTTAGCCCTTTGTCGAACAGACAGGAAAAGAATTTCACTGTATCCAGGTGGCAAAATAATCGACCTTTGAATGACTGCAAGGGAAAATCTGACAGCAACATCTACTGCCAGATGACGCATGAGTACGAGAAAACCAGGGACACCTAAAAGACGTCTCGGAACCAAATTTGCATGCCCTAGAAAGTAACGCAACTTTCACTCAATATACTAGGTCACATAATAGAGGGTAAAAGAATGTGTAATTTTTAATGCACACGCGACAGAAGTTAAAGCTCCCCCTTCCTTCTTTCTCTCTCTTCTCCCAACAGCCAAGAGTTGAACAAAAACTAGAAGCTGAGATCTATTTTTCTAATTACGATCCACTGATTCTTCCACCGACTGCGTGCAACAATCTGATATTGATCCACGAATGGAAATTAATCCAGATCAAGAAAATGCAGATAGATTATAGATAGATATTTACCATGACATTTGCATGAACACACACACACACACACACACACACATTTACATGGGCTTGCAAAATCATTCCAGTTTCCAAGTTAATGTAGGGAACTGCAGATATGGTATGAATTTTCATATTCAGCCGCTTACAGAAGGGCTGAAGGACATGCAGATCGGGGGGCTGATGCTCAAAATAGAGAGGATTGCTAATGGAATTGTCCATATCCCATCACCACATATTAAACCTGAAGCAACTGCTCTGGCATAGTCATCTGCATCCTTTTTATCCAACCGCTCCCATACATGCAATATCACTGTTCCAACAAACATGTCTACAGCAAAGTAGGCACCAATGAAAAAGGGAACTGCCATGGCGGTTGGTATAGGAATATACTGCGATACCTTCTTGGGAGTCGCATCTCTCAGAAGATTAAGTAGTAGAGCTGCCACAAAGAAACCACAACATAAGGCCAGGCAATGCTTTGGAAGCTCAGAGAATCCTTCAATACCTAATATGGCCAATTCTTTGTATATAACAGCAAAGGGTGCTTTATAGGGACCATCAGGTGATCCAATATCAAAAGCAGTCCAGAACAACCAGAATGTGAGGGGAGCAATGACACAACCCATGGCTGTTCCAACTAACTGGCTCACAAACATAGACTTCGCTGATGATAGGGTGAGGTAACCTGTCTTAAAATCTTGCATGAGATCAGCTGCAGTTGCCACAATGGACATCATCACAGCAGAGGATGCTATCCCTGCTGTTACCCCACCATTCGGGCCAGCAGATGAGGCCACAACAAAAAGACCAATCTTACCATAAGTGGAAGGTAGACTCATGTCTGTGAGTCCAGCACCATAAGAGTTGCAAAAGGCAAGAGCAGGGGCAAGAATGTAGGAGCACAAAACGAGGTACCATTTGAGAGAAGGAAAGATAATTGGTATTGTTCCTATGGATATTGCAGCAAGGCCCACATACCCAGAGGCCGCAAACCAGAAGGGAATCCTGTCCTTTAAAAATATCTCATCCTTCATCCTTTGTTCCAATCGCACTTGAGAACTCTCATCATCTGATAACAAGCATTAGAGGCACAATTGAGCTCTATAGATTGCTTTCTTGCACAAAAAAATCCCAGCCAGGTCAAGCAAGACATGAAAATGAGAGATATGTTCCTTTGCCATTTTCCATTGATTCATTATGAGGATTATATTAGTCATCAGATACAGATCAATCTACATGACCAACATGATTTTTTTAACAATCACAGATAACAGTAATTTATAGAGGTCATAAATATTAGTATTACCATAAGTTCACATCAACACATGCCCCTCAATGCTACGTATTGCAAACAATAACAGTATGAGCATGTAATCAACCACTTTCTAAGTGTAAGTACAATTCAGCTAAGTGGTTTACAAAATACAACTCAATCAATTATTCATACTGCCAAGCTCCATGTGGATGAAGATTCAGGTCACTGGTCAATACTATAAAGATTAATTAGTTGGCATTTGACAAAATATCTTAAGCATGGCAAAATTTAATTAAAACTTGAAGATAAAGTACAAGCATCAGATTTCTTTCTTTCTTTTCCTTTTTTTTTCGGAGGGGGGGGGGAGGGGCTTAGACAGTATTTACTTTACTCACTATGAACCCCTGCCACAACAGGAAGGCTGTTCTGTTTTAAGCATGTTCCACACATCTCCCTTACAGTTATCACTATAATCTTGACCAAATTGTATACACCATCTCCTAGAATAAGGGAAATAGCTATGAACACCTGCAAGCAGTGCAGTGCAATAAGGAATACAATTGTTTTACTGCAAATTAACTAATTAGCAGGGGAAGAAAAGAAAACATCAAGTCTAATTAGTGGTAAACAAGAAAAAGCCTCAGAGTTAATTCATGAAGAAGTTAAACTGTATAGGACAAACTAACCTTCGTGTGTTTTTTCGATATGCTTAATCCTCTGCTCATTTGAATGATATATAAGGTATTGGTAGCCAAACCTTTAGCTACTCTACCCGAAAAATAAGGAGCAATATATGCTAGAATATATGTCTTGATAACAAAATAATTGACCACCACAAAGATTAAGGAATAACTAAAGACAGATAATAACATTTAAAAAGTTCAAATTAATGGACCCAATAATGGGCTTGGGAGTCATCCACACTTTGAAGATTTGAACAACTCCAGGTTGGCACAACCCTGGCTCTAGCACAAGTTGGCTTCGCTTGTTTCAGAGCTTATATGCCATTGTCAGAGATATTCCAATCCTAAGTCAAACTGGCTTCTAAAACTGACAAAGAATGGAATGAATGGCAATTGTTCAGAGAAAATGTGTTTACTTTGTTTTGCCGAGAATAAATTTGGAACTCCACACACTGGTCGTGAATAAATTTTCCTCATCACGCAATGGTCATCAGATACGCTTGATCAATTCAGGATTATACGCAAGCCAAGTATTAGGTTGCTAAAGCTTAGTTCCTTAGTCAAAATTGATCCAGACTTCACTTTATTCCTGACTAAATCAACATCGCTTCTTTAAATATTTCAAAACAATATAGTCCTTTAAAGATAGATCATTAAACTTAGAATGATTTTAACTGTGAACTGCAACTATAATATATACCTTATACCCATAAAGACCTTTAAAGTCATTGCTACCAAGATTAGCTGGATACCAGTCCCCAGCATAGCTAGAGATAAAGGGCCACAAAAAACCCCAAGATATGATGGCTCCAAGAAGAACTGAACAATTAACTATGTGAGCACAGATGAGACCACATCCAACATAAGTTGAACTGAAGTCAAAGTAGAACCTGCAAGAAATGGGAACCATATATTCAGATAAGTTGTTGTACCTTTAAACCCCTTCACATTCATTCCTCAAAAGCAACAGGGTTACCAATTACAAGTAAATAGCACCACGTTCAAATCATCACTACTCCAAAATTTGACAAGGTACAAGTGAAGTACAAATATTCATCTTAAGCTGCCTCAGGTGGGGCAATTAAAACCCTCTGCAGACAGAGAAGCATGAAACATTTGTTATTTGTATCAATCTCAAAGTAAAACCTAATGCTGCTCTGAAGGGAATAAGGAAAGTTATCATCATAAAATTGTAATATCAACATAAAAATAGACACGACCATTGTGTATTATATAACGCAGCAGGGAAATTTAATTCATTTCAATAACCCTAACTAACATTTCAAAAAGGACATCCAGAACTGGAGGAGGCCAACTGATAACAGAATGATCCTGCCAATGTTAGTACTCAAGAGTCAGGGCATAAAACTCAAATCTCAACTCTGGAATGCAATTTCTATTATCTTACTTGTGCCACTTCCAGACCTTTCCCTGGACTTCATGCGGGGTTACAAGATTTATTTTATTGACTGATAATACTGTACAGAGCAAGAGATATATAGACATGGCTAGCAACAATCAAGGCTGAAAAACAGAGAAGAAAATATTCACTATACTATCAGAACCTTCTCGAATCCTGTCCAGGAGTAATTATAGAGTATTTACAATAGATATATATGATTATCCAGACTTGCTACTCCCGAGATTTGGCATGAACCAGGATGCCTCACAGCTTTGAGAAAAGCTAAAGCCTTTCACGCTTTACTGCTATACCTCAAAAAGGACCAACCTTGTGTTGCCTATTGTCCCTCAGTCAACTCAGTCCATGCTGCAATTTTCTCAGGCTTTCATGTGGTTTAGTAAGAATATTATTTTCCACTCATGCTTATAGTTCCAGGCGTTATAGTTATTTGCTAATTGACTTGTTCCCATATTTGCCAATTAGAGGGTATCTTTCATGGAAAACCATGCTGATCCTACCAGTGTTTATCACTTCAAGATGTGATGCCATTGAGTTTTGAGAATACTTCGCTGAGTTTATTAAGTTACATGCTATCGGTTGGTAAGCTTCTTGAGTTGCAAGCTATTGTTCCTATGTTCTATGCCTTCATGAAAAGCTGAGAGCCAATTGTATACATGCTCCAGCTCCGATTGTTACAGATTTGGAAAGATGTTGCTTGCAGCGCTCATCATGTAAAGGGTGCAATTGCATAAGCGATAGAGTGCAATTGATTTACAGGTGTAAATGTGAGTGTGATTTACAGCTTTCAAGAAATATTTTCTTTGCCCTTACTTTCATGTCCATATTTTCACTCTCTTTTCTTCATAGAAGCATATTGACATAGCCTACAACCAAAGTAACTTAAATCTACAGTCTATTTGGCAATTAAACACATTTATCAGCATATTGAACAGTGTATGTCACATGATGAAGAGGGAAATGACAAAGGAATCAAGATAGACAAGTCCAGCAAAGCCAAAATTACAAGAGTCTTACGTGTTCTTAAAAAGTGTCAAACCAAAGCTAGGAAAGTTGCCAAATCCACATGAATTTCCAATACCACTGAAGAACCACTTGAAGCAGCTCCAGCAGAAACTTATACTCAAATACTTCCCCAATCGCCGAACTTGGTTCCTGATAGATAATATCCATTAGTGATACATAAATAAAAGCAAAATGGCAACATAACCAATTCATGAACACTTAAAAGTGGCACAAAAATTTAGAGTGCTGTTACCATGCACCAAATCATAGTTGTCAACTAGTATGACACTTGTAGAAATTAAGATAAGGTATGCTTCTAACTGCTCTGACGTTAAATTCTATAGCATACCCTGCAAGTTCAGCTCCAATTGATGTGTGGAAGCCGTTAATTAACATTGCCGTGGCAGTTCCACTGGGATATGTAAGCTTATAATCCATGACCATAATCTGAAATTGAATGCATGCCAGGCAGGATGAAGTGGAAATCAAAATACAGATGTCAACTCCTAATCATTGCCATAAATGAAATCTTATTTAAAAGTTAACAGTGAATGATATAAGCAAATAGTTTTCAGAAACTAAGAAAGAACAAAACCAAATAATTTTCAGGACACTCGATAAAATACTAATGAACCACATTGATTACCTTTCGAAGTGGGACAAGACTAAAGAGCCCAAGGAAACTGACAATAAACATGAAACCAATCATCCAAACCAAGCCTGGGTTTTTAACATCTTCAGCTCTATTACCAGGATAGTCAGGACCAATGAGTTGATATGTTCTCTCATCCATTGCAATGATGGATGAACCAAACCCACCTGTCAGCAGTCACAATTAGCAAATTTGATATGTAATTGTAAACGCAATTAACGCATCACTCTAGAAGAAGATACCCTTGGCAACAAGAGATTGTAAGTTATTTTAGTTTATCTGAGACAGGGTATAGAAACAGAATAGAACATAATATGCTAAAAATATATTCACCTCATACAAATAACAAAAAATAGTGTTTTAACATCCATTATTAACTGTGTTTTTATGCTTTAAACAACAGAATCAAAGTAAAAATTCCAAAATCTCGATACTACATTGATTTTTATAGTTATATTATTCCAGGAAATGTGCCAAGAATTCCAGGTTTCAATCTAAAAAACAACCAATTAAAAGTTTAAAAGGAAGCAATGGTGAATAGTAGATGACCTGAACGGTTAAGCTGGTCAGAAACTCAGAATAGAGGTAAATATAGGGACTAGTAACAAGAGGGATTGTAGCTTTCCTTTTTCTACACAGGCATTGTTTTCAATTTAACTTCAATAGTGACACCTAATTTCCTACTAAGGAAACGTATGGCATGCTTCATGAGTGAGATTGCCGTGGGATTTGGTTTTAGGACAACTGTCAAGGAAGTTGGCAAATGAACATCGAACTGAACGCTCTTATAATTTAAAAAAAAATGAAGGAGTCATTACTAAGAATATCGAATTCACAACAACCTTCTGAAACAGAGGAAGGGAAGCAAACTCTACTTAGCAAATATTAATGGCACTTCAAGCATCCAAAACGCTCCTCCTGTTACTCGTAACATCACATAAAATAGAAAGCAATGCATGTTTAGCCTCAAAGATGGTAACTTTTACAAGAGTCTTTAAACCCTCCAAGGTGAGCCAAACAATTACAGTCATATGCAAAATAGGAAAAAACTTGAACTTGTATATTTAATAAATTTATTTTCAATTAAATTAAAACATAGAAACATAAATTTTTTATAAATTATTTATTTATAATAAATTATTATTATCAGCATTATTAACCTATTAAAATTCACTTCTCTCATTCTCTGTGATTTAATTGAATAGAATTAACACAAGTCTTACCCTACAAAATAATAGAATTGGATCCCTGATTCAGTCAAGAGAAGTCTAAAATGATAATGAAACATCCTTTTGACCCAACAGCACAATCAAAGACATGGCCCAAAAGAAATGGAAGGGGGCTACCGCTGTAAGCGAGGCCATAACAAGCAACAACACATGTCTGAATGACGGTATTCTCTTGTCTAGTGAAGGGTTTGGTGGAGTGTCCCAACTTGGACAGGAACCCATTCCAGATCTTAACGAAGAAAAAGCCCAGCAACCCAGCTGCGATGTTCAACGAAGGAACAATCCCAACTGTCAAATTAAGATTGTGGGTGATAACGCAGAACAAGCTCCCCAACACTGCACTGACCACCAACCCTCTGATGGTAATTTGGTCCTTCCATCCCGGAATACGTTCGGATTCCGGTAACTGGGCCTCCTGAGAATCCGAAACAAAAGGCTCCGAAATGCCCGCGGATGAGCCCTCAGTTCCCATGATAGATTAGAGATATTTCTCTTCCTCGAGGTGGGTTCAACTTCAAAAATCAAAATTAATTGCACTTTCAACTTTCCCTTCCTTTAAAAAAATGGAAGGCATTTTTGAACTCTTATACATTTAAAAATATAAAGTATTATTAATATTTTTAAAAATAATCATTATTTTTTTAATAACTATTTTTAATAAATAAAGTAATTTATATTTATAAAAAATTTATTAAATAAGAATAAATATTAAAAATATTATCATTTTAAAAAATAAGTAATATTTTATTAAAGGTAAGATTCTTATAAATTTTTTAATGAAAGGGGTAGAATTTACTATTATTGATTAAGAAAAATTTGAATTTTTGCTTTAATCTAATTAAACTTCAATCCTTAATGTATTTTCAGTTCTCTCATTAATAATTTTATTAATAAAAAAATGCTAATGTTGTAATTTTAAATACACATAAATATTAAGTTTGATTTTCACACACACACACATATATAATTAAGATTTGAAAATGAAAAATAATCAAAATATTTCATTAAAAAAGAAAGTCAAAATATAGTCATAGATATTTTTGTTTGGTTCATGTTTTCAAAAAATATTTTCAATTTTTACAAATAAAAAATTTAAAAATATTTGTTTGGGCAAGTGTTTTGAATTTAATTATTTTAAAAACTGTTCTAATTTTTTTATCTTTAAAAATAAAAATAAAAAATTTTAAAGTTGTTTTTATTTTTTTATTTTCAAAATACACTACATTTAATTATTAAAAAATGCACTTATTTTTGACTAATTTTTATCATAAACCACCATTATTAATCATAGTTGATAATCATTATCAATTGATTTTTTAATTTTACAAATTTTTTTGAATTAACACAACTAAACAAATATTTTTTGTTTTGAAAAAAAAATTAAGAACTACATTGTAAAATAATTTTTAAAAAATAAAAATTGAGGACAGAAATTAAATAAATCATTTTATTTAACTATAATTCTTCGTCCCTGATTAGAGAACTGCTATTTCTCAAAGCAAAGGAAAAATCATTTTTTTGGGGGGGGGGGGGGTTGGTGATAATGCAACAATAATTCTCCCGCTTATCAAATCACAGGATGATTTTCTCCTAAAAAAGAAATAAGAAAAGATCGATGGGATGGTGAAGGGAATTCAGGTGAGGCCTGATAGGACGACATGAATAAACCCGGTAAATTCCAAAGATGGTAATTTGAATTGGCCAAGTAATTTCCGACCAGGCTTATTTAGGATAGCTAAGCTAAGACTGATTCGAAACTCTCCAACCTTTTGGTTTATTCAGGTTGATCAGAATGCTCAAATTATTAATTTTTTCTTTTTAAAATTAAAATTAAAATTAATTTTTACTTTAAAATTAATTGTTTTTATTGTAAAAAAATATAAATATATATTTTTCAGGATACTTAAATGATTTAGAGGAATTAAAATTTTTTTAAAAAATATGTAGTCTTAAAACTTAAAATTCAATATTAAAATATATTTTAAATATTATTTTGAGATCCTTTATAAATTAAAAATAATAAAAGTATGATAATATAATTTTTTTTAAAATATTTATAATAATATACTCAAATATATGGTATTTTAATTCAAATGTCCTAAAACTTGAAAAAATTATTAATATTTTATATATTTTTAAAAGTGTAATTTTCTTATTCAGGTACTTAGAGCCCAAACTCCATTGGGCTTGGTTGGACTTTTTTGGAGCATATTCAGGCTGGCCTGAACATGAAAAAAGCACTATGTTACTAAGTTTGACTTTAAATTTATTTAGGTTAACATACTAACTTGACAAAAATTACCAACTCTAATAAATTTTAGAGTTGGTTTTGCTAAAAAGAGTAGTTTTAGACATTTGGGCTACAAAACTCATGTTATCTATTTTTCTTATATTTTTTTATAATTTTATTTATTTATTTGTATTTTAGGGCTTTTGCACGCATGGCTCACATCATAAGACTAAATAAAAGAAATAACTCATTCTTTTTTAAATTTCAAAAATGACCTTTTTAAAATTTAGTTTATAATTAGTTTACAAAACTGACCTTTTAAGATTTGCTTTTTGCAAATATCAAAGGATTCAAAATGCAAAAAATATCTAGAACTGAATACAATTAATGTAAGATATATAGTCTAAAATGGCCTTTTTCATAGATGAATGCGAGAGAGAAGAAGGTACTAGACACGAGAGGAAGGAACGCAAGACAGCAGAGCAGTGTGAATGAACTACAGTCATGATCGTGAGAGACAAACATAAGGTGAGATAGATCGATGGTACTCAATGGAACGAAACACATTGGCGGGAAAAATGGAGCTATAGATTTATGATTTTTTATTTTATTAATTTAGATATTTGACTCTCTGTGATAAAATACGAGTCCAAAAATTTTTGTGGATTGTGTTTAATTCATTTTTGGTAAATGATTATGTGTTTTTCCATGTTACTAATTCGCGATACTAAATCGTTGATATACTATTTTATATTACTGATATACTATAACAGATTAACATAACTAAACAATCAAACATAAAATTGTGTATCGTTGATATACATACGTATATCAATGATGTAGTATTGTACATCAACAATATAAAAAATATATAATTATTTGTTCAAAATGAATTAAACACAGTCTACAAAAAATTCAATGTTACCAAGTAATGTGAAAATGGTGAAAATCTGATAACAGATTTCAACTTAGTCTTCTGCTTAGAAATGAAGATTTCTCTTGAATGTCTAATGTTCTTTTCATAGTGTTCTTGGGAAAATAAAGAGGGAGAGAGAAGAAAAACTCTACGATGAAGAAAGGCTCGAGCAATATTATATTAAGAGAAAAAAAAAGGAATGATTCAAAGAGAGAAAAAGAAAAGATTCAGCTAGTTAAGGATTAGTTATAATAGATATATTGTGTTTTAATAATAATTCTAATCTGAGGATAAAAAAGTAAAATACATCTAATTAATTTTATGAATGGTCATATTTTAAAATATTTAAAAATCTCATTTATAATTTATAGAAGTTGTATTTTTTGAGGTCATTGAGCTAATTTCTTTTTGTATCTTTTTAAAGAAAATTAAAAAATAATTTAGATTTTCAGAGTGACTCCAATACCGAAAAGCATCAGCTGGAATTGAAGCCAACCAGTGGAGATGAATTAATGGCTTCAAGTGAAGTCGATGACAAGGCAGACGAAATCAGATTTTGTTGATCTACACGTGGAATTCACATGGTCACCATCTATCATAGTCATGGATCAGTCTAAAAATTCCTAGATCTCTTGTGTGGCCCATACCAAGGCAGACTCGAAGACCCTTTGTTTTGATTACTGCTTATAGTATGCATGTCTGACTTAATTTTCCTCTACCTGCTCCCTTCCTTTCCCCTTTCTCTCTCTTCAATCCTTTGTTCTCTTGTGTTCATCTTGTTTCCTAAATTTATAGATGCCTCCAACTCATGTTCATCTTTACTGGGCATGTATTGGATAAAATTTGATCAAGTACCCATGCTTGGTTCATTTTTCACATCTTTTCTTCTTACCATTTAAGAAGCCTATCTCATCTTCACATGATGTTAAGGTTAGGCTATGTCTTAAGGACACATTCTCATGTTAACAATAATGTGCTCTTCATGTCACTTTGCCCTGCAACATTTTCTTCAACTATTTTCAGATTGTTCATCTTGCAGAACTAAGAAAGAAGCATAGTCAAGTACTCAAGTTTTAAGAAGCTAATAAGAAAAAAAGGAGTGAACCAATCAAGAAAAGCCTTAAAAAAGCTTGCACATCATGTATTACAGCTTCCCTATTTCCTCCACAGTATGCAAGCAGATGAGAAATATATGAAGTTGATCTCTCTCAGATAGGATAAGAGCCCATGTCGCTTGTTTCTTTATCAACCAGTCCAAGCTGTAGGATATAACCCATCCATGGTAAGGCAATAATACTAGACTCCCCAATAATTCAACTTATCATTGCACCATCCAGTAGTAATCCAGGCCACTGTGGTGCTTTAATTTTTTTCAAAATTATTAGTAGTTTGTTTTGACAAGATAGTGAGGTGACTAGCTTTATCCAACCGTGTATGTTTATTATCCATAAAGTATAAAGTCGCGCACACTTTATTGATCTTCTAATAGGAATTTGATTCGGTCCCTATTTACCTCACAGGTGGAGAACAAGAGTTTATGTATGCATATGCTTGCTACCCACCGTAGCTGTACTCGAGTAGAGGCAGCTTCAAAAGTTGTCATCTACTACAATTATATTATATCATATACTAGCAGAAAACCTTCAATCACATTCACCAAGATAGATTTTATGAATTCCATTCAAGCAATCGAGATTTTTGAACCTTGGCTCGGTAAAGGAAATTAATAACAAATACTTCTTAAGGTGTTTATAATGTTCAATAAATAACAACCTGAGCTTAAAGATTATGAAATAATAGTAAAAAGTTTAAGCTAAACTTAGGGAAAAATAGATCACATCATCACAACTAAGGCTAGCATTGGACAAAATGATTTGCAATCATACACAAAAGACAAAAATAGTTAGTAGAAGTGGGGATTTTGTATCAAGTAGTAGTTGTCCTTGAAAAATGAATATAGTCAAGAGCATGCCCCACTAGATATCTAAAATTTTAGCAATTGTATTAGCAATCCCCAATGAGCGAAATATAAGAAAACTTTTGCAGCATCGGATTTAAATTTTATTGCTTATCAGTTTTGGTTGGTCATCTCTAACCAAACCCTCGGCAAATGATAATAGCCTATCAAAGGATGATGGAAATGGAATCCATTATATTGTAATAAATACGCCTATATCAATGTCTATATATATATATATATATATATTTGATCTATAATATGTATGCATCTATATTAAACTTTGACTTTCTACATCTGACATGGAATTTGCTATTCAAATACTTAAGATCAAAGGTCATAGATCCAAATACATGTAGTATACCTCATGAATTATACATAGGCCAATATATATATAAACAGCAAATTGGTAGTAAGCACTCAGCATTTGAGCTAACCATAATGTTGTATCTATCTAAATGTTTTTCTCTATGCTCGCATCTATCTTATATCCTTCTGGAAACTACCTAATTCCACCTCATAGAGAGTCACAATGAAGAGGCATTTGTGCCTTTTTTACTTTTATCAATGTTAAATACCAAAAAAAAATCTTGGATATCATTTCCCTTGCACATTATATCTACTGGTACAATCTGTCTGCTAACGAAACCTCACTCATCAACCACCATGAAAAGCAACTAAAAATAAAAGTCAGTCTTAACCTTACCAGTTTTGGATGGAACATTTCTTTAATCCTTCAATTTCATCACTTCCTTTCCTTCTTGTAGTTATTTCAGTAGGTACACCAAAAATTTTGGCAGAATAGTATTGAATTTTTAAGGATTTTACATTTGGTATCTCTACTTCTCTTTCTCTCCAGTGGTGCTTTTGTTCTATTACATGAGGAAAGAGGGGGGAGGAAAAATGGGAGGGTGAACATGTAAATGGATCTTTAGGGAATGCATTTACTAAATTTCTAGAATAAATCAACATCAGTTCACGTCAACACAACTATGGTATTTGTATAACTTGCAGTTATTAATACAATTGCACAATAGAACCTACAAAATTAGCTTTAGTAAGCGGTGTTATCATTTGTAATAACAATCAAACTACTAAGTTGCCAGCTTCATGATGAAGTTGAAAGCAAGTGGTCCAAGATTAGGCATTCTAAACTAATCTACATTTTGGACCACTGGTATACAAAATAAAAGGCAAGTTGACTGTCCACATTTTCCCAAGTTATTATAGTTCTAATTCTTAATAGCATGAATGCTACAAAGGACGTGTTACTCTTTCCATAGTACAAAAGCAATGGAGAGAAACCAATGTGATTTGACAAGTTAAAAGCCTATATCATTATGCATATTTTAATTTGCTAATCTCCAGTTTCTCACCAATACAATTCTTTTGCAACTCTAATTTAAGGAAACCCTTGTTGCCTTATACTGTAGCTAACATTTGATGAGATACAACCCAACACAAGTCCGAGCTTTAAATTCATAAACTAGTCGAGATCCTTAAAGCCAAACCAACAGAAAAGTCAAACATCTTATTATGAATTTGAAGACAGCAAAGATGAAGAGAAGTCACAAGAAGAAGCATTAACTGTCATCCCTGAGCTGTTCCAAGGCTTTCCATAATAGGAACTCTTAGTGCAGAAATGGCCACCAATAAGCTAGCAATACCGACATTTGCCACGCCTTTAGAAAACACATTTGAGAGAAATGTTGAGGTGACAGAGAATGAATTGAAACTCATTAGTTACAAGCTGGAGAGGTTCCTTGAGGCTAAAAAAGAATGGTTCTATAAATCATTAGGAAGGGATAGCCATGTTAGCACCATTACACTTAGAAAAAAGCAAATTGATGAAGCTGAAGATGAAGATTATGGAAACACATCTGTATGTCCACTTCAAGGATATTTACTTAGATCCTCAATTGAACTTCTAGAGATAGCAATAGAAGTAAAGAAAAAAAGGGCATCCCTTGTGGAACCATTTCATAAGACAAAGATAACAAATCAGTGCATCATAGAGACAGGAAAAATTAGAGAAACACAACTAAAGCAAACACAACAGCCTTCTAGGCATATCATGAGCAAATTATTGAAGAAAGTCCATACTTCTTCAAAAAGCTTGAGCACTTTTGAGAGTTATGCTAATTCTGCTTTAACCAGCAAGAAACTCTCTAAAGATAGTCATTGATATTAAATCTTTTGCACTTCCTTTTACCACAAATTCCATAGTTATCACAATCATCTTCGATAATTTTTTCTACATCTTAACAAATAAGCAAAAGAAAATAGAACTATATGTTCATCTCTTTATTATGGCCAGTGTAGTTAGTTCTATAGAAAAGTTAATATGTGAATATAAGAAAATTAGACATAATATATCCAAACTAGATAATGTGAATTGTCTTATTCTCAGATTATCAGTCATAAATTGTCAATAATTGATTGCTCATTTTCATTAAGAATCAAGCACTACACTAGACATAAAGGAACAACAAAATCAAACCATCAAACATCAAAATTTTGTTGACTATGTCTACGGGCAATTGTATAAAACCAATCAGATTTTAAATAAAATGCACTGTGCCAAAATTAGTCTATATTGATTGCAAGATGTCTATGTTGATTGCTCTTCTAGGTCAGGAAAGTCCTAGTAGCAAGCAATTGTGGGAAAAACCTTCTAAAATTGAAATCAATATATTTTCAGCGTTCACTAAATCAAACTTACAGTTGTACCAGCGTATTTTGTTCATTAATCTTGCGCGTGCAAGTTTTATATATGTTCTACAGAAAAGTACATTCTGAAAGATCCTTAAATGCAAAAATTATTAAGTCTCAAAAGGTAAAATCAAGAATGCCCTATATGATTACTTTCATGGATATGATACTGGCGATACTGCCATGCACCCGATCAAAGGAAGAAAATGTGCTTCTGAGTGCAAGTCAGAAAAGCAGTCCTAACCCTATAAGAACCACTGGATCCCACTAAAAATGGGCTAACTAATGGTGGCTTAAGTAGAAAAAAGGAATGCTGGATCAAGACAAATGATGAGTGTAAGTATTTCTAGCATGCCCTTCCTTACACTCACACACTCAATAATACTATTCCCTTTCTTATTTATTCAGCATCATTGTAGGTAGTCCTAAAATCATCTCCTTGAATACATAGAATGTCAAAGTCTTGTAGGAATGCCACACTGATCTTCGAAACACTTGTTTAGAGGAATTGGCATTGCTACAAAATGTTTTTCTCAATAGTTATCTCAAACATCTGGTTTAAATTTTTGTTTTCCATAATCTTGACCCTATCCTCCCCAAGTATTATCCAGATAACCAAACACCTCACCAATTTTGAGCAAAACAATTTTCCTTATGCATGCAAGTCAACTTGAGATGCTAAACTTTAAATGTCATTTAAGATATATCATAAACTATATCTCAAACCAAATCTTCAATGAATGTTTCAGAATTCGCATGAACTAGTACATGATGGAGCATGATAATATCTGTAGAATCGCATGATAAGAAGATCACATTTATGTATTTGACCCATTTATAATTGGTGGCATTGTAGACTTGGTGCTAGAGCTGCAGCAACTGAAGCTACAAGAAAATGACCATGTATCTACACTGAATGAGAGAGAATCTTCAAGCTTGTATTTCTTAATATGGTTGTGTTATGCATGTAAGTTTGAGTGGGAAAGTGCTATTGCCTGTTGTTTTTAATATGCTATATTATGTGTGATATGCTTTGCTGTATGGAAATAAAGATGTGAGTTTCATTAGAGCTTTCTGATAAGTAAACTTGATTTGCTAGTTTGTCATGGACTACTAAAAATCAATTTTGCATTCATCAATCTTAATGTATATCTACACCAATCAGAAATTCGTGGAACTTATTTGCAAATAAGTTTTTAGGACTCATTTGTAATTTTCCCACTTTTTTTAAATAGGTTTCAAAATATTTGCACGTGCTTTCCAATCTGAGTAGTGTAGCAGTATTGGCCAAGGTATAGAAAGAAAATATACTAGAATTATTTGAAAGAAGAAGATAAGTGATTTATATCCTAAAAATCAAAGAAGCACTAAGTGCTGCATGGTGTCCACAAAATTCTTAGCCGAAATAGTTGCCTATAGAGTTCGAAGAAAGAGGTGATTGAAAATCACTACTAATAGGAAAATAAACAAAAGCTTGCCTTGCCGACTAAAACACAAGAGAAAAATGACATCTAAGTTGAATTCGTGGCAATTCAGCAAGGAAGAATGTATAGATTGGTGGATGATGCAGAATAGCTTCCAGATGTGATAAAAAATGAAATGGCAATGATAAGAAAAGGAAACCTGTAGAATAAATGACATGAGAGCAGGGGAGAGAAAGGGAGTGAGCTCGCGTATTTCCAAGAGGGAAGCTATTGGATTTGCGCCTTCTCATTTTGAAAGAGAAATCAATATATTGACAGCAGAATACAAGCGTCGAGTGTTTTATCGTTATCCTTTTGATAATTTTCATCACCCACCATTTGGCTCGGGATTTGCTCCCCACAATTCTTGCTTGTTAGCCACTTAGCCATGCCCTGTGTCTAGTCTTTCTTTGTGACTCGGCCCGGACCCTACCCTTCTTTTCTTTCACTTTCTGTTTTTTAAATTTACTTCTTCTTTTTAAATATTTCAATTATATACTTTATCTACAAATTGTATGACTTGTGAAGTGCAAATTGTTTTCTTATAAAAGTATTGTTTGTAATCCATATCATTTTAAGATAAAATATATTAAGAGTTACTTATAAATATAATTTAAAAACAACATGTTTATATCTAAGACTTAAATTTTTAAAAAAAGTTGTAATAAAATTGGTGGTTATCCAAGTTGGAATTGACTTGGTGTGTGGCCACATGAGGGAAGTAAATTGAAATTTTTCTAGAGTTAGGAATTTGAATGAGCTGGATATAAACTCAATCTAAATAAGTACATTTTTTGAATAGCTTGAATGGCCAAACTCATCTCAAATTTTTTATGGATTCTAGTGGCCCAAATAGTGGTAGTTTTATTTTTAAAATTATTTAAAATTAATTTTTATTTTAAAATTAATTATTTTATTTTATAAAAAATATAAAATATATTTTTTGATATTTGAATGATGTACAGAACTAAAAAAATTTAAAAAAAATGTAGGACTTAAAATCTAAAAATTAATATCAAAATATATTTTAAATATTATTTTGAGGTATCTTATATATTAAAAATAATAAAAATGTGACAACATAAATATGTTTTAATTTTTTTAAAAAAATATCTTTATTAATACATTCAAATATATGGTATTTTAATATAAAACAACCTAAGTTTAAAAAATTAATTAATATTTATTATATTTTATATATTTTTTAAAAATATAAATTTTTTTTATTCAAGTATTCAGTTTAAACATCAACAATTATTATTTTGTTAAGTCTGATTTTAAATTTTTTTAAGTGAATTTGAGATGAACTGTCGGGTGTAGCTTAAAATACGGGTTCGAAGTTCTTCCCTCTCAAAAGTATACAAGTCTGACCACGTGAATTGAACCGAGAGAGAACATGCATGAGACTCTTTGGTTTACATGTTTTTTAAATTGCTGTGTCTCCCTCTCTTTTTTTTTCCCGGTAAAAAGACTATTCTCATTTTGTCCGTTTCTAAAAAATAAAATAAAATTGTAGAGCTATTTTATTTTACTACTGAAACTATTATTAGTAATATTATCATAAATCATTGCTATTAATCATTTCTATCTGCTTGATTGCCTCTATTGATCTTTTTAAATTTTAATTTTTTAAATCAACATAATAAAACATGTTTTCTTCTTGTTTTGTTTTGGAAAAAGATTTAAAAGACGATTTGCAAAATAGCTTTTAAAAATTAAAAATAAAATCAAATCTAGTAAGCACGTATTACCTTGTTTGGTCCGTGTTACGTCCAAGGCCTGCTAGCGTATTTGGTACGCGTTCTAACTTGAGGCTAGGGTGCGCATTTCGTTTAAATTTTATCCAAACAAAGCTTTAGGTTCAGGGATTTCTCGGCCAAACCAAGCATGGCCTATGTCGGTGCGCGGTGCTACTTGCACAGGCGCACGCTAACTTATATGGTGCTAGCAAGCAAGAAGTATAATGGTTGTGAATTTGGATCCCTCATGTTAAAAGACTAGTTGACTACTATCCAGATGAGTTGGAGTTTTGGGACCAATTTTAGCAAGGACCCTTGACTAAAAATTTAATTTCAGTCAATACTCTTAAAATTTTAAAAATTTGCTGAATACGTGGGGATGATTGAAATAAAATTAAAGAAGTAATTGAAATAATTTTATTATATCTGATGAAACTAAACACATGAATAATTTATGTAAAGAAATTAACAATTAATATATGAAAAAGGAGCGACAAACGTAAATGAAATTTGAAACTCATGTCAATAATATAATACAATTATGAATTTGCAACTCTCATATATCTATATTACTTGTTTATTTTTTAAATATTAGTTAATTTTTTCTTTCATGAGTTGTTTATGCACCTAGTTTCATTTGTTTACATTTATAATGGTGTCATACTGTTAATACGAGTTGCAAATTTTACCTATATCAATTGTTTTTTTTTTCACACATCAGTTATTAATTTTCACACATAAGTTATTTATACATCTAGCTTCATCAAGGATAATAAAATTATTTTAGTCAGCTATTTAATTTTATTTTAATTTTTCACATGTGTAGTAAAATTTTAAAATTTTACAAGTTTTAATTAAAATTAAGTTTGGTCAAGAGACCTTATTGTAATTTTTTTCAAAGTTTTAAAGGAAAGCAAAAAGGGTTGATAATCACATATAATTTTATATTTAATTACAAAATATCTACACCCCTGACAATATATGCGGCATTAAAGTAAGTTTTGTTATTTATTACACACTCCTTTTGTTAAAAAATATAAAATATTTTTAATTAAATTTCACAATCAATAAAATAGTTATTTATTTTTTAACTAATCATATCTTTTTATATTTATTTTTATTAAATATCCTATAATAAATATAAAATTATTATCAATAAGGATATTTTTGAAAAAAAATACAATGGTTACATCTCAAAAGATTAAAAATATCTTATATTTTTGAGCATTTAACTCCTCAAAAAATACCTTACATTTTTGAATGAAGTGAGTATACCTTATAAATAGTGCAACTCACATTTCTTTATGAAATTCATTTCTATTTTACAATTTGTTACACTCTTGCATATAAAAAAAACAACATATTTTATTTTAAAATTTATTATCCAGTACATTTTTTTGGCAAAATTATCTAATATATACTCCCTTCGTTTAAAAATATAAGACATTTTTAATTAAATTTTACCCTAACAAAGTAGTTATTTATTTTTAAACTAACCTTATCTTTTCATATTTACCCTTATTAAATATCTTACAATAAATATAAAGTCATTATTAATAGGAACACTTTTAAAAAAAGATAATAATTACACCTCAAAACACTAAAAATATCTTACACTTTTGAACATATAACTTTTTAAAAAATACTTTTTTTTAAGAGAGGGAGTACTTAGAATATAAACAATGACATATTGTGGTTTAAAATTCATTACACCATGCATATTAAGAATACATATTGAATGTAAATATAAACAATTTATTTTATTAAGAATTTATTATTACGTGTGTCTTAAAATTCCAAACAACATAAGTTTTTGCTAAATGTAAACCTAAATCTTCACCGTCTATGTAAATTAAATTTATAATTTCATTATAGTCTTGTAAACCGTTTCACGTATATTTTTTAATATAATAAAAAAAAGATTAAGAGTTATTTCTGTTTTTGAACTATACATAATAGATCACAAATATCTCTAAATTTAATTATGAATCAATTCTATTCTTCAATTTTAAAAATTTTCTTTTTCATCACTCTGCTATTTTCACACCATTAGTGGGCCCACATTATATTTGTAATATTTTTTATTATAAAAAATTTGAGGTGAGAGGCACAAATACCATTAACTTGATATAATATATTAAAAAAATTAATGGGTGCCACTAATGACTAATGAATGTAAGTGTTTTTAATATTAATGTGATGATAGAAGGAAGAATCTTTAAAGTTAAGAGATATAATTGATCTATAATTAAGTTTAAAAATATTTGTAACTTTTCGTATATATTTCAAAAATAAAAATGACCATTAAACCTAAAAAAATATATACACTTTTATATTTATTTTTAATTTTAAATAATAATATAATTACATTAAATACGATCATGCTAATTAAGAAAGGATAAAATAAAAAATTTAATTATTATAAAATATCTTATATTTTAAATTAAAAATTATTTTTAAAATGTGTGTGTATAAGTAGGACCGAAAGGAGTTTCTCTTACAATTGACTCGGACGTTAGAATATTTTAATTCTGTCATGGAAAGCCTCGATGGGAAATGACTTTTGGTTTAACCTTAAAGATCAGGTGAGAATCTGGTTTTTTTTTTTTTTTTTTACTTTTGGCTTTTAATTTTTGTGTTTATTTATAAAATCATAAATCATGTTAATAAAAAAGTATCCATGGATTTTTAAGAACAACAAAGTATCCAAACACTATAGTGACGTTTTTCATAGTTTAATCCAAACACAGCGTTTTTTACCCCCGAACGGATCACATTTACAATAGGCATGTTTGGACAGACAATCAGATAGACATGGTCCTGTGATTGAAATGTCATTACGCCAACTCAATCTTACTCCCTTCATCATAAATTATACAAAACTTTTAAAAAACTTTGACATCCTAAAATATAAAATATTTTAATTAAAATAAAATTTTATTAATAAAATTTTTTTAATACTTCTTCATTTTAAATTATAAAATACTTTTAAAAAAAATTCAACATTTTAAAATATAAAACACTTTAATAAAAACAATATTTTATTAATAATATTTTTTTAATATTACTCTTCTTATATATTTTTTTTTTTAATATTATTTCATCAATAGAGAATTAAATGAGGGATATTTTTAAAATTTTATATTTTTTTTAAAAAAATAAGATTATAAAGTATATTTAACAAGCTTTATTGATACATGAAAATTTATTTAAAAATATTTTATAATTTAAAATAAAGAAAGTATTACCTTTCTCATATATTATCTTTTTTTAATATTTTTTATTAATAAAATATTAAATGAAAAATATTTTTAAAAGTTTACATTTTTATTTTTTAAAAAATAAGAGTAATAAAATTTATTTTAATACATAAAATTTATTATTATGTAAAATTTTACTTAAATATATTTTATAATTTAAGAGGGAGTAATATCTTAATATCAGTGATAAAGAAAATAGGAAATTTGATCTATAAATCGAATGAAATTTGGAGATACGCATCAAAAGTGGAAAAGGGAGCAACGCCTGGCGAATGGAGAGCCTGGGGAAGCGGGTATTGCTTACCTTGTGCAGGGACGAGATTTCACAGAGCATCGCCTTCCACTTAGCGAAGCGAGGATGCAGGTGAGCCTGCATTCCACTGCGAAAACATGTGTTCCGAGTTGCATAATCAGCTAAAGCCATGCACTCTTGATTCAGGTTGGCTCTGTTGGGAGACGAGGCCTGCCTCCGCAGTATTGCCGATCGAATCTTGGGTTCCCTAAAGGGTGTTGAGCCCGTCGAGGTGATCGGACTGGATATGGAGCAAGATAGCGAGGCCGTATTTTGTGAAGCCGTTGACAAGGGCTGCGATGCCCTGGGACATCTGGATGCTTTTGTAAATTGCTTTGCTTACGAAGGTATGCCGTACTGCTCTTAAATATCTGGGATGAGGAATTATTTTAATTCCGCTGGGATTTCTTGTTTATCCACTGTTCAGTTTCACTAAAAGCACTTTGATTTAGTGATTGAGTCTCGATTTTAATCTTTTTAATAAAAAAAACTTGGTCTAAAATTCACCGTTAGCGTTCTGTCGCGGTGTTTCCTAAGTTGAGAAACACGATAAAGAGTTCTTACGGTACGGACCTTATCACGCAATTCCCTGACTTCTGGTTGTTTTGATTTTTGAATATCATGGATTTTCTGGGCTTAGGGGAACATTCACTTTCTAGTGGGGACTGGTTTTTTGCGCCTTATACCGTATGTATCGGCATTCTTTTTTTTTTTTTTTGGAACACTGGACATTCTTTTTCTTTTTTCTTTTTGTTTTGTTTTTTTTCTAAGGCCGGGGGCCCAAATCAGATCAGTAATTGGAGAAGTGACAACCCTTGTGCTTGTATAACTGGACCAGTCTCACCAGTGCATTGCAGCTACTGGTGACCGCTAGCCAGCTGATTCTGAGTACTTTCGTGGACATATATAGACCTGACATTTTAAATATGCAGAGTTTTTTGGAAGAAAATATTTGCAGTTTGATGTTGACATGTTGCAGCGTGACGCGGGTCCATATGCATTTTGACTTGTTAGACTATGGCAGTCTACCAACTTGTTCTGGACCCGAATTTAGCTGATTGAAAGTAATTTTTTCAGTAATTTGGCCAGGGTAGTCCGCGTGACACATGGGTTTTTACTGGACTGTCTAGGGTGATGATATATAAGCTAAAAGTTGATTGCTCGAACAAACTTGGGCTAGTTTAGTTATGCGACTCGGCCTATTAGAGCATTAGTTGGCTATGGCCAGTTAGTCTTCGGGCATGAGAGACTGTGAAAACTCATCGTTTGGTCCTTGAACTCTGTGCTTTGACTAGGTGAAGTCAGAACAGTTGATCCATCAGCACTGTGCTGTGCAGTTCTACTGAGTAAGTTGTTGTTGAAAGGCGGTGCCGTGGCATATGTTGCTCTTGCAAATTAATTTGTAATTCAAATTCTCAAAATATTTTTCGGGCTTAAACTGTGTTGAAAGTTTTACACAAGTCAATGGCAACATAATAAATTTCTTATATATCATTAGCTGATTGTATTCCAGATATCTTCTGTGGATGAGAACATGTGTAAAAAGCTTATCTAAGGGGCATTACATATGCTTGAATGTCATCTTACGCTCAGCTTTTGAGCATTGATTAGCGAAAATATGGAGATTGATACACATTTTGGAATAAAAACTGAGTTAGGCTTCTGACAATTTGAAACAGGAAACATGCAAGAACATCTAGAATTAAAGGAGCACGAATTCAAGAAAATAGTGAAGATAAATTTTATGGCTGCATCGTTTTTGTTGAAGGCTGTGAGTCTGAGGATGAGAGACTTTAAGAAAGGGGGATCCATAATATTCTTAACAACAATAATCGGTGCTGGAAGAGGGCTTTATCCAGGAGCCGCTGCGTATGCCTCAACCTTGGCAGGAGTGCAGCAGTTGGTTAGGGTAAGAGAAAATGTATTACCAGCTTTTTGTTTCACAAATGATATGATCGCGGCATGTTCATTTGGTAGTAATTTTCTATTTCAAAATTAACATGTCAATTTTGATGTGTTAACATTCTGTATGCTAGAAAACTGGAAAATGGAGAAAAAAAGTGTTCTTGCTTTATGATTACAGTATGTAGGTAGTTCTTCTGTTCCACCACTGTTGGATATAAAAGAGCAATTTGCCATGGGGTTGTTACTCTTTTCTTAAAAAGTTAGTTCATTGAATGTATAGCGTACCTGCTTATATAATTAGGACTCTCCTCAAATTTTATGTCCTTTTCATAGGTGGCCCAGGGCCTACCAACTAAACAAACTAGGGTTTGGTTTTGATATCATTTTATTATGAGATTGTCACTTTTTTTTTTAAAAAACTAGTTCATTGAGATATACAGCACACCTGATTATATAGTTAGAATCCGCCTCGAATCTTTTCGATATTGGACGTGACAACTTGGCTCTACAATCTAATGAACAACTTACTTGGTTTATAACTCTAATTTTTTGTTTCTCTTATATATCCAGAGAAAAATTGTTACCTGGCAACTGATTTGACACCATATATTACTGTGTGTGATCTTTTTTTTACACAGTTACTGCATTGACAACTTGTGGTGGGCACACTTCCCATTTGGAAACAAAATCTTGGCATTTTTGTATGCCAGGTCATTTTAGAGGAGCTAGGATGTAAAGGGGGCTCTCATACCTTGAGGTTTAGGTTCTGGGGCTCTGGGCATACCTGAGCAATTAGAATGCGAGAGAAGAGCCAATCAATCAGATATTTTTTGATATGCAAATAGAATGTGGTGAATACACTGTGTCCAATTCAAGAGAAGTTGCTCCGGTATATATGTATAGTTGCTCCTCAATCAACTAAAAACCGATTAACTTCCAAGTCCAGAAAACAGTCTTTTGCTTTTGCATGTCATTTCTGGGAACAATAGAGTTTGGGTAGTCTTTAGATGTTATCCTCCATTAACATGACTTGATACTTTAATTTGAAGTAGATATTGAGCTGCTACTTTTTAATCTTCAGGCGTCAGCTATGGAGTTGGGGAAGTACCAGATCAGAGTCAATGCGATTGCACGTGGCTTGCATGTGCTGGATCAGTTCCCATTACATGTAGGAAGGGAAAGGACAGAGAAGTTGGTGACGGAAGCAGTGCCTCTGGGTAGATGGCTTGATGTTAAGAAAGACTTGGCTTCCACAATCGTCTATCTAATCAGTGACGGTTCAAGCTTTATGACAGGAACCACCATTTTCGTTGATGGGGCACAGTCTCTGTCTAGGCCTCGAATGCGTTCCTTCATGTAATTCCTTCCATGTATCTCTCACATTATTTGAACAGAAGTTTCACGAGTTTCATTCCTTTGTCATCCTTTGTTATTTTGAAGGAAGAGGGGGTGAATAACAAGTGTTCGTGTTTGGCAGCGCAATACCATAGGGGAAACTTTTATTTTCGTCTGATTAGTGGCAGAAGAATGATTTAAAACAAAAGTAGCCTTCGTGCTGTGTGATTCTTTTGCATAAAATAAAAGTAGACATCGATCATCGATTCATGGGTCGGTGTTATCGTAAAGATAAGATGTGACATATCTGCAATGTATTGAGTCACTGAAAAGCTTGAATGGATTGTGATTTTAATTGGCTTTCTACTTGTAATGAGATACGGCTGATTATAATCAACAGTAGCAAATCAAAGATTCGGTGTCCTTTTATTTTTTATTAGTTAAAAGTCTTTGTCAAAAGTTTTTATTTAACAAAAGTTAATTTAATAAAAATTAATTATTATAATCAAATTTATATTTAAATATATTTTTTAAGAAAATTAATTTAATAAATTAAAAGTTGTTTAAATATTTTCATTTTATTCCTACTAATCAATATTCCAATGTTACATTTTAGTTTCAAAAGCTCCTAAATGGGTCATTGACAAATTCACTTTCTATACTTTTTTCAAAGTATTTTTTTAAAAATTAATTTATTCAATTATAAATTATTCAAATAACATCTCACATCTAGAAAGTAAGAAAACACAGTTGAATGTATGAAATCCAAATAGAACATTAGTGATATTTTTCATATGTGCACACGTGTTCCTAATTATGTTACCCCTATTTTATTATTGAAGTCGTGATAAACTAGTAATTTTCACTTGAAATTTAATATTTAATTTAATGATATGGGTTAAAATTTCAAAATTTAACATGCTGATAATAATAATAATAATAATAATAGGAACAACAAAATAAAAATCTTTAGCAGAAGAATGCTCAATACTTGTTGGCTATGAAGAACGAAATCCTGCTTTCACCCAGCTTCCTAATTGTCAAGGTTTGTCTGACTAAATTATCAGCTATTGAGATCACGCGTTAAAGTAATTACATTAGAATACACGGGTAAAAGAGAAGAGTCGTCGTCGTCGTCGTCGTAATCGTAAACAACTCTTTTTTGCACTTGTGATACAGAGAATATGGCATGAAAAGATACATGCCGATGCATAATGCCAGCGAGTATTGGCAATTAGCGTCGCATTCATGAAAACGTAGCACTCCTTCACAAATCTGGAGGAAAGTGGGGAAACTTCATGCGAGGATAATGCCTTCCAAAATATTCCCTTCAGAATCGATAAATAAGGGTATATATAACATAAATTAAAATAAATATAAGGCAGAGATAGGGGAGGATGGTTTTGCTAGGCACTTGAAGCGTGATACCACACCTTTATCCAAAACATTAGAACATTTAGTTTGTGAGCCTTTTTTATTTATTTATTTATTTATATACATCTTTTTAATTTAATCCAACTCTATCCGACATCTTAACAGACTCTAACAAAAATTTCAACAAATGAGAATCACATGAACAATCACAAACAGAAGGCGCAGCCTCACAAGAAAAAAAAGAAACCAGTATATGGTAGTGTTGAAAATATGACGTGTACTAGCACTTCAAGAGTTGAGCAGTCGTATTCACCCTTTGTGGATTATCAAACCCCACTCTGATCTCGTATTTGAGCTAAAATATATTTGAACCTTTAACATTATCAGGTTTGAATTGACACCCACTACTCTTGATTGACGACTTTTTTCAATTAAAGCATTAGTTGCTAAAATTTGATTTAATTTTGAGATAGAAAAAAGCAGAGGAAGAAGGATAAAAATGAAGAGGTAAAAAACTTGTAACATAATCGAAGAAAGTAATTGATTTGATTTTAACAGCAGGGGGAGAATGGGAAGTTGGCATACGTAGCCATCTCACGGGGGACTTCGGCCAACAATTAGGTCCACTGTTTATTTTCATTGACTTTTAACCTAACAATTAAACAAATTACTGTGAAATGCAAATGCATCTCTAAATTAAAGTAATTAAATACTGCCATTTTGCTGCTGCTATGAACGGTCATCAATGGTGGCCTGGAGTGCTCATGATTCCCTCTGGTCTCTCCTTTAATTTATTGTGATCACTCTGAATTTTTTTCATCAATTTTAAAAAAATATATACAAAAATCTTATTAAATTCTTTTATGGTATGTTTGGATTAATATAGATTTGGATTTGGATTTGCAATTCATCTCTAAAATTCAAATACAAATTTATCAACCTAGATGTTACCTTAAATTATTTTAAATCTACAGGAATACTAAAGCATGTTTCAAAACTAATTTTTAAAAAGTGAAGAAGAATCTCCACATATTAGTATATTATTCCAGCCTGCTTTGATTGGTACGGTTTTACTGTGTTAACCAAATTATAACTTAGAAGTACAAATTAGTCATGGATGGGTTGAAGATGGGGGAGATATTAGAGTGAACTAGTTGAGGCTGGCTGGCTACCTAAGGATGAAACATCATAGACGGAGGCCCTTGATTATTGCATTAGGTTTGGTGGAACAGGGAACATTTCCATCTACCAGGATAATTAATGAGACGTTTTGAATCTTGCATTAATTATTTAATTAAGAGATGTACTCCATGTTTTTAATCAAATTTTGTATATTAATAAAAGTTTATTATTTAGTTGAACTTACATAAAAATACAATAATTTTTTAATTTTATTTCTAATAATATCATAATTAATATTATGATGGTGGTGGGACAAAGATATATTTAATGATCTATTTTATTTTTTAAGAGAAGGGTAAAATTATTTAATTATTTAAAAAATCATTGTCATCCCTTATATTTAGGGACAAAATAAGATTCTAGAAAATATTTTATATATAAGGATGGAGGGAATAAGCATTAAGTCTTTTTTATTGAGACATCCTAGTAAATAGCAATAAATATATAGAGAATGTATAACTTTAAATAACTCAAGTAATTTATTGAAAGATGAAATTTAATTAAAAAATATTTTTTTAATATTGAACGGAGGAAGTAATCATTAACCAAGGTTAATTTTCACTCCTCCTAGCCAATTCTTCGCTGGCAAATTCTTTAGAATCGAGATGCATGAATTTTTGCGAAGTTTTTCTATATTTGTAGTTATTTTTTATTGATAAACTAGCCTACTAGCTAAAAAAAAATCTTGTACCCAAAAAATATGGACCAAATTTTTTAAAATTTAAGAGTATAACCAGTTTATATTGATATATAAGGGGTTTATCATTACTATATAATAGATTGATCATTAAAAATCTAAAAATATACAAAAATTTATCATTAATATACAACAATATATTATTAATAAATATAATAAATTGACCATAATATAAAATATAGTAAATGTTGAGCTATTTGTTTGATTTGGTCTTATAATATAGGTTATATTTGTAAAAGCCCTTTATTTTATTATCTTTTTATAAAACATAGCAAAAAAATTTTCTCTTACCTTAAAAAAGTAAATTTCATGAAATTCACAAATCTGTAACTTTGGAGAATCCATTCCCGTATAATGAGCATTTTGATTGTTATTGTTAATAACTTTTGGTTAATTATATACTGTGAAAATCTTCTCCTGTTGTTGTAAGAAATGCGAAATCCGTGAAAACTAAAAAGTCTAAATTCAAAGCCTAAAGTACGAAAAGAAATCAAAATGTCAACTCTTGTGCTCTTGATGAGGCCTAAATCCTAACACGCACGCGCGAACGCATACGGGCACACAGATTTTGATTACAATAAATGTGGCGCCTTAATTAAGCCACTATCGTGTGAACCAGTGAGACATCCTCGCTGACGAAGTGATGAATCATGAATTCAAAATGAGACTTTTGCACTTAAATTAAACTTGATTAGCTCGCGGTGAAGGTAATGATTTTATTTTATTTTTTCAAACTAATCGAGCTCCCGTGCAACTGTTGGGAAAATTTCTGAAGGTATAGTTTTCACATAATTAAGTTATTGTAAACGAGTAATATGACAATGATAGAGATTATTAACTAAAGCTAAAGGTCAATGAGACTTTGTCGTACGTAAAATCGATCGAGGGCAGAAAACCAAATTCGGGTCCAAACTAATTATGAGACGGAAATTTCAAAGGACGCATATGTCCAGAAGATAAACATGCAATTTATAATTAAAAACGGATCGAATGTTTAATTGAATTTTCCATCCATATTCTACGCACGAACTATATGTTTTGAAGTTTCTTCTTTGTTGAACAACATCAATACATACTAATATAGAGCAGTGACTTGGTGGGTCAAACATGGCATTGTATATATGAAAACGCGCCCACGATAATATCAGTGAGCAACGCAGAAAAATTAGTTTGTGGGTGAAAAATTTGTACACAAGAGATAAATATTAATATTTTTAATAAATATTAATATTAAATAATAAAATTATTAAAATTAAATACTACTAAAGAACTATGTATAAACAATAAAATTATAATAGCATAAAAATTATATCTGTTAAAATCAGGAATTTTATTTTAATTAATAAAACTGAACTCTTTTTTATTTTGACCAATAAAGGTAGATTCAATTGGTAATAATTTAGCCCCTAATTTTTTAGAATCTGACTCACCTAAACTTTTTTGTGCCAAAACAAAAAACTTAACTCTTTTGTATGGTATAAAATTTTTGTGATGAAATTTCATTTTAAACAATCAAAGAAAATTATTTTATAAACTATTACTACCTTCTTTCTACAACTCTTGCTACTTAAGGTCAAAACACATGAATACAATTTTGGTCAAATAAACTTTTTAGGAAATTAGTCAAATTTTTATGAGCCCACGTGTATTTTCTTTTCCATTTTGAGGTGGTGATGTTGACTGAAATTTTTGAATGATTTGAATGGGACGAATGGAATATTTAAGTCACTACATGTATTTGTTTTCCTGGGCTTGTGGGATCAATTTTCCCCTCCACCTTACAAATGGATCATATATACTCCATATAACTTTTATTATAAGAGAAATTTCCATTTCATTTTTTATAACAAAAATTACAAGAAATATTTATGACATTTTTTTTTCAAATTTTCCTTACAAAATGAGAGTTTATTTTTATGAAAAATACAATTTATTCACATGCTAAAGATTAATTATAAGAATATTATTTAGTTCAAATTTTTTGATTTCACATATCATTATTATACTTAACTAATTAAGGGAAAGAGTATTTATATATTTCATTTGACCTAGTTGACTTGTGGTATTCTAGAGTAAGGTCACATGCATGTTGGAAGAAATTATATTATTGATATAAACAAATATGATGAACAAATCCAAAGATAGAAGGAGGGCGAGTAAGAGACAAGTTCATGGAGTTTGTTGGTTAGTGAAAAGAGAGACGATAGGAAAACAAATAATACAGAACGGGTAACGAACCGTTGGTGAATGAAGAAAGGGAAAAAGATGAAAGAGCGAGTTAAGTAATAGAGAGAGAGAGAGAGAGAGAGAGAGAGAGGCAGGCAAAGGTATACCTCGGGGTGGCTGTACGTGCGTGAAGGTATATTCTTCCACCTTGAATGGTGGCACACTGAATGCGGAGACGGTGGACCCCAAACACTGAATCTGGCCACTTCGGAATTTTCTAAGGTGTGTGATGTAAATCCAAATATTATTGATGGGAAGTTAGGATTCATGGTCATGGAGGTTGATTTGCTACCTGCAAACAAAATATTTACAACGTGGCATGTCACCATTTGACGTTTTCAAACCCACTTTGAATATTTCTAGATCTCCTCTTCTACTTCAAGCTTTCCCATATTATCATCATTCCCGATATTATAGTTTCCTACCTGTTTCTTTATCAGTTAGATTCTCTCTATTAAAACGCCCCCTTTACTTTTATGATCGCTCGCGTCTCACATTTCTGTACATGCATGCAAGCCACGTGTGCGAAGAAAATCAACAAACGACGTCGCTTTATTGGCTGCACTCTTCTAGTCTCATCTGGTTCCACGATGACCCAACTCTGACCAAGCTAAGAGTACAGGGATGGATGGTTTCGTGCAGTTGCCGGAAATGTATCGACCGTACGTGTTTGGATATATTTCAGAGGAGAAGATCAGAGTGGCTTGCTTTCTGCGGTCTACACAGCACAACAGCCATGTAGGCAATAATTAGACCCTCCTAATTTGTACCTCAAGGTTATTAGCAGAATTATTAACTGCTTGAACTTGGCATATATAGTAGATAGCGAGCGTGTTGAAAATATTAACTTGTAAGCACCAATTTCAAAACTGATGCAAACTGCAGCGATTGGAAGTTGTTAGCGGGGATGGCTATTTGAAGAATAAAAGAAGTGGAGATAAAAGAAGAAAGTTATGTACGTTGTTTTGAAGACGCGAGCAGCACTATTTCTTTAGACTTAATTCATCTATTCCAATTTTCAAATGCACGTTGGCTTGATGGTAAATTTCTTTTAGGATACAATGAAGATCCTTGAGTATGCTTTACACTATCAAGACTTAAAGCCAAGACAATAATGGTTTTCATAAAGAAATAATTTGACCTCATTTCTAGTGCATTCAAAAAATAAAGGCAACGAATTTTAATCAATGAATCTCCAAAATAACTAATGGTGAGTGGTATTTGTAATTTTGTGTTGAAGTAATGTTTTAAAATGATACATTTTAAGTAATAAAACTCTCCTTAAAAGTTATAACTAATGTTAGCTCATAACCCTTATGTTGTTCATGAATAATTTTATATTAATCCATAAATATTCTTATGTTAGTTCATGAACGTATATAGTTTAATAATTAATATTAACTAAGAGTTATTTATGTTAACTTTCCATGACAAAAAAACATTTCTTTTAATTTGTAGAGTTTTCATGCAATAAACTTCTTCTAACCAAGAGATACTTTTTGATTTTATAACTCTCTAAATGTATCTTTAAAATTTAGATAGATATGATTTTATTAACTATAATTCTCTATATAATCTTTTACAAATATTTTTTAATTTATAAGAACATGATTTTTTAAAAAGATGTAACTTAAAAAAAAACAAATTAAATTTTATCTGCAAAATGTTCCAACAGAAGTTAATTTATTTATTTGCTCTCTCGTTGTTATGATTTTCCTTCCACATTATAATGACATTGGAGAAAAGAGGCTGCGCAGACCTAATTCGCATTTTTTTCAAACTTCAAACCCACATGCTTCTAGCTACATATCCCCTGTCTTTATCCCATCACATGTCTCTGTCTGTCTCTCTCTCTCTCTCTCTCTCTCACACACACTGAAAGAGAAGACATAGCTTCAGAAAGACACCACCATAGGATTCTCGAGGGACATAATTCATTATGGATGCGCGCAGAAGAAGAGGAAGAATAGTTGCTTGCTGCAGTTCAGCATGCATGGTTGAAAGACTCAAACATACAGTAGATGGAGAAGATCGGAAGATGTGTGCGCGCGCCCGTGCGCGTGCGCGTGCGCGTGAGCTAGAGAGAGAGGGGGAGGGAGGGAGGGAGGTTGAAGTGACAAAAAATAACCATGATTGGCATTTAGTCTTATTCTTGGTTTTCTCCGTTTATTTGACGACTCCACTTGAATATGCTTTCCATTTGTTGTTAATTTAATGACAGTTTCTGGTCACTCTCAACTCAACTGCACAATACTGCTCCTTTAATTTCTTCCTCAGACCTTCCCCATAAACCAGCTCCTCTCTTTTTGACATACACCCATATGCCCTGTACTCTGTTATTTCGTGTCCACAAATCATTTTTACAAACTACAAACTCTACAGTTCAGTAAGTTGTTCAGTTTTTTAACACTGTTTTTACTGAACTATATATATAGTATACTTCAATTCAAAGGGGCACGGACAATGACTTCAATATTCCACATACTATTTAAGGGATGTAGTGAGTTTACCTTAATTAGTTTTTATTTCTATTCTATATTACAGGCCTCCACTGTAACGACGCGACATACGATTTTCTAAATAAAAGAGACAATTTTTTTTTTTTTTTTGCTAAAGGATACTTTTTTCCTCTAACTTTTTAAAAAGTTTTGAGTTAGTTTCTTAATTTTACAAAGTATGTTTTTAATTTTCTAAGTCAAACACCATCGCTTAAAAATGATTATTTTTTATGCTAATCATTGCTACTTTAAAAGATTGAACTTAATATATATCAATATTTGAAGATATTTTATCAACATTTAAAAGTTTAATGTAGTTTTTTTTTTTTGTTAGTGAATTTAATAGTGTTAAGGTTAAAAGATTGAAAAGATATTAAATAAAATTAAAAGACTAAAATAAAATTTTATGTAAAATTAAAGTATTTTAGTTGATATTTTTTTTAAGAGAATTGAAGACGAAAAAGTATATCCATGTTTTCAAAAGAGATATTAAAGCCGAAGGCTGTAAAATTAAAAACCGACACTCTTAAATAGGAGAGGCGGGCGTGTCTTGAAATTTATACGATCCTGTAGTAATTAGGTTTAGTAGCCAATACATATGACTGTTTCCATCATAAGCAATTTCGCGGAAGCTGCAAATTAAAGGTCCGCTGCCACATGCACTATCAAAACCTTGCACCCACCTACCCCCATTAGAGTATACAAACTTAAATACTATACGTACCCCAAAGAATATATAGCAAGAAAGAGAAATATATATCGCAGAACTAGTTTTTAATTAGTTCCTTCGTAACTGCAACTGATATCACGTTTTAGAAAGAGAATATGTATATATCATGCTGGCCTGAAAAATATTTTTGAATTTCAACCTAGGATTTTTGCATACATTGCTTAATATAGAATCGAGTAGCTAGCGACTCAACCACTGCTTAGAATTACTGTAAAGAACGAGCAACGGCAAAAACATGAGTAGATAGGCAAGAAATTCAAACCACATATAATTAATTTGCGTATGAAAGTGATACACGTTGAAGCGTGATGATGTGCCGAAGGATCATTTCAAACTTCAAACTTCAAAGGCAACTGCTGCTAGTCTTTGTCCTGATTACCACACATTAACCACAATGTTCACGAAGGATGACCCACTCACCACGATAAAGTGTTCTCATCTTTGATTTTAAATTAAGCCCTCATTACAATTTCAAATTACCAACTTCTATTTCCGCCTATATGTACTACATATATCGCGATGACAATTATAATTCAAAAATCTTGCCCTCACCGACAGTTCTGTAACTATATTCAATGTGTAATTCAGATCTGTACATATTATATATTCCCACTAATTAACAACGTTCATGTCCCTTGTCCTGCCAATGATATGATGTGGAGCCGCCCCAAATTTTCTCGATCCTTTTTCTGATAAGCTCCCCTCCGTACTGTTTGTATTGCTTTTTTTTTTTTTTTCAAATTATAAGATATTTTTAAAAAAGATTTAGCGTTTTAAAATATAAGACACTTTAATAAAAATAAAGTTTTCATTAACAATACTTTTTTAATATTACCCTTATCATATTTTTTTTAATATTCTTTTATCAATGGGGTATTAAATGAAGGATATTTTTAAAAATTTATATTTTTATCTTGAAAAATTAAGGTTATAAAATGTCTTTAATGAACTTTATTGATATATTAAATTTTATTTAAAAATATCTTATAATTTGGAATGGAGGGAGTATAATTTATAAGTGAAACTCATTTTTCTCATCATCGTATGAGAGGATAATTTTCGTGCCGTTTACGACACTATAATCTCAAATATATATCGCATTGGCTCGCATTTCGTAAATCATATCTTTATTCCTTCTCATCGGTCATATTAATTCGTATTCGGTGTATGTCTCCCCATTTTTCACTGGCTAGCCACTCCTCTAAGCGCTAGCTGCCCCCACCAGTATTCAATTATCTCTTCACCCTTTTTACCATATATATCTGTACATCCTTTAAGAGTTTCTCCTCCCAGCTAACTGCTTTTCTGTCACCATTTATACTGAAGACAAAGAAGCTGGCTTGATCCCAATGGAGAATTATACCGTGTTGTTTCCTGGTCCTGCTTCTTCTTCTTCAGGCTTTCAAATGCCAGCTAGTGCCATGGGAGGCTCTTATCATGGATTTAGTAATTTTGAGGGCCAAATCTCGAACGGGTTTCTGGGTTTGAGGCCTAGTCATGATCAGAGCCTCGGTGATTTGCAGAAAAGAGGAGAGGTGAGAGATGGGCAGTTATCTCAGAGTGGAAATGGGAAGGATGATCAGATTGGAGGAGGTACAGGGAAAAAGAAAGGAGAGAAGAAGGTTAGAAAGCCTAGATTTGCTTTCCAAACTCGGAGCCAGGTTGACATTCTTGATGATGGCTACAGGTGGAGAAAATACGGCCAGAAAGCTGTTAAAAACAACAAATTCCCCAGGTCTGCTTTTCGCTTCCCATCCCCCTTTTATTTAGATTCATTTTCTTGTTTACCTTTTGGTCTTGTTTTACGGGCTATATATATATATATATTTAATTCTATGTTCCCTACTAATATGAGAACCTTGAAAGATGCATGGTCTGCCATGTTCTGAGTCAGTTTTCTTTTTTGGGACTGATATGATTGGATATGCTCTTTGAGATGGTTTGCTAACGGCTAGGGTTTTCTTCCTGGCTCTTGATATTTCACCTGTTTGGTTTATTTTCACTTGTATATTTATCTTTGGTGTGCCGCTCTATGACATGTATACTTGCATATGGGTCAAATCAAAATGAGAAAGACACACACACACACACACACGATCGATCCGTGCACGCAATTAATTAGTTAAGTATATGATCTTTAATAACCCCATATGTTCATTGGCAGCAGAGATCAAGAATCTTGAAAAGGGTCCATAAAATACTAAATTGCGGATTGACTATATCAGTTTATCGACTAGCTTGCACTTGGATAGCCAATTCGAAAACAAACTCAAATTGGATGTATAGATAAATAAAATTGCCTTCTGATAGTACGTACGATGAAATCCATGAATAATTTTGGGATAATTACTTCAATTGGCCATGTCAGATACATACATATATATCAGCATCGTGCTCCTTCCAAACTGATGATATGACAAGCGCAATCGAGAGTTAGAACAGTGGTGTGAGACTATCTCCTGTACTTTTCAGGCGAAGTCGCTGGTTTGTTCCACTGTTTGCTGAATTGATGTTATCATGGAACTTAATAAGACATCAATTGATATCAAAATTGATTAATGACATACAAAACAAAGCTGTTTCATATATCTTGCCAGTGATACCAATATGCATATGTTGAATTGATTGAGTGATATATAAATATACATGTTAATTTAGTGAATATTTATATATTGCATATGCATTTGCAGGAGCTACTACAGATGTACTCATCAAGGATGCAATGTGAAGAAGCAAGTGCAACGTCTAACGAAAGACGAAGGGGTAGTGGTGACGACATACGAAGGCGTGCACACGCATCCAATTGAGAAGACAACGGACAACTTTGAGCACATTTTAAGTCAGATGCATATATATACTCCTTTTTAATAACACAAGCCCAGCCTCTCCTGGATTCTCATCAATTACTTTCTCCTTATATTTGTGCCCAACAATTAATCGTATCTGCCTCAGACTCAATACCACTCTCTGTACAATATCTCTCTCTTTATTCTGGAGTGTTAGATTATAATGTAAAATTAATTGGCTCTCGAGTTCCATGATATATACTACTTTTGATTAAGGACACGTTATGTAGCAGTAGTAGTATCTTTTTCTGATGGTCGTTCGACTACGTATCAATCACTTTCATGTATGTTGAAACTTGAAATACAAACAAAGCAGTTTTGCTTTTTTCCCCGTTTCTATCGGATGTGCTAGGCAAGCGTTTACTTCTTTTTCTAAGAGCTTCTATTGGGAGCTACCTATTCTAGAACAAGCCATGTATATATCAGGCTTCGAATGAATAGGGTGTTTGTCTTTCTTACCTGACAATATGTGATTTCTAACTACATGCATACGACATTCTACTTTATAGCGCTTAAACTGTGCCTTCATATTTTTTCCCTGAAAATTAGGTGAAAGAAACATAACAGTAATAACTGTATTATATGTTGGTGCTAGTAACCAAACCATGAACATGAGTTAGTAATTATAGTATAGGTTTTACAAATATATCGTATTACCATATATAGTTTTATCTTGTAATATAGTGTTACCAAAGTGGCATCATTTATCTCCCTGTAGAAGTACGGTTATACAAGTATAGTTTGGAGTACTGCACAAACTATGTTGCCAGTTTTAGGTACAGAACATTATATCTTGATAGTATATATACTAATTAACTAATTCGTCTTTAAGTTATAGTAAATACTATTTATCTACATGGCGGTTATTTTTTGTTATGTACCGAATACCGACAATAGGGAGAGTTAGTTCAGAATCAATGTACGTACGCACTCATATATACTTCATACATAATGAAGCGAGCTTTTCTGTACGAATACCAGATGTGTAAAAAGATGTATTAAGAGCATTACTTTGACCATTTTAATTCTTTATTTTTTGGTAGCTTCTGGAATCCGCAAGAAATATATGTGTGGATGACCCATATAAGTCTCACCTCTTCAACCCAACCCAATGATCTAATCCTAAAGTCCCTCCAACAAACTAACACCTAAAGGACAATAATCGCCGTCCTCATTCTCGTATCACCAACATGTTAGTAGCCAATATTATCATACTTGTGTAGGTTGAATTAAAATGGCATTGCTATTCAAGAATAAGGTAATTCGTTGATTATATTGATCTATCACACCTCACCTTCTCCATTGAACGTTCCTCTCTTTTCAATACCATGCGTTTTTTCGCTCGCACTCTTTCGCAGACCATCGGAGATCTGAGCTATCATGCGTGCTGATAGGGACTTTAGATGGGAATAGCCCTAGGACTTATAGTTGTCTTTCTCTTGCTCCTTTCCAATCTAGCTAGATGCTTGCCCATGTTCTCTCTTTTTTTTAAAAAAAAATTACTGAATCAAGTTTATTTGTCACTTTTTCTTTTTTGGTCCCCTAATGGAGTGAAGTTGTCTAGGGTTTGAAAGAAATTTCCTTCAGTCATGCTGCTTCATTCGCATTCAGCACGGGCTCACAATGGAGCAAAAATAGATTGCTCTTATTATTTGGTCAGATATTATCGAGAATCAGCAACTGTCCATCTTTTTATATCATTTTACGCACTCACTTGGTTGATTGGAATAATGAAACTTTTAAATTTAATTTTAACCGATTTGATCTTTTATATTTTTTCAATATTACAAACAATATTTTTAATGTTGCTTTTTTAAACCTTTTTACATTATTATTAAGGGGACATAATATTCATGTCACTTTTTAATATGACGTGTATATGAGGGTTATTTTCTCACCCTCAATCCAAAAAATAACAACTAATCAAAAAACTTTTTTTCGACAATAAGAGATACTTTATTAATGAAAAAAGTTAGTATACAATCACAAATAATTAAAGCCAATAAAAGAAAACAAAATTCACCTTATGAATACAATCTATAATCAAAACAAAAAAAATAATAATAAAGGACGGACAAATACAACAACACAATCACCCCTTCTTGAATTTCTCTTCCTTCTCAAAAGCCCCTTTGCACTTATCCTTATTAAAACCCTAGAAAGAAAAAAAAATTAGGTGTCAAAATATTTGTAGTTACCTTCACACAGCCCAGGTCTATTGTACATCATTCTCTGCTAGGCAATCAGATATTTTTATGTTCGAACCCCACAAGCAAATTAATCCACCAACTTATAACACCTCCATTTCAAATTTAAGTACCAATGCCATCAAAAACAGTTAATATTAGTATGAAAGTTAGAGGGTAATAGAATCAAATATCAAACAAAGCTGATGGCAAATATCAAGAGACTAGTTAGTATGAAATAGAAAATTATACCGTTTTAAGTTTTTTCATCTCATGTCACAAGTATATGCATCCTAATTGTAGCCAAACTATTAGAGAAATATGATGGAATATCCTAGATGTATCTGTATAGAAATGATAGTTCTAATCATCAAGATCTAGCAAAAATGTAATCGGAGGTAGTGATTGTAAATATAAAGCACAGCTTTGTAAATATATTTAGAATTAAAAAGCACAAGTAGCCACTTGCAATAATATAATATTGCAGGGTCACATCCACTAGAAAGCGAAATTTGAGCATAGTAAATGACAAATTGAAGAAGAGACTTGAAGATGACTACTCAAATGAAGTAGATTCAAACTCTTACGTTAATGGTTCACATGATTGCTTTTCGTGTAGCTTCTGCAGACAAAATTTAAAGACCCCAGTCAGAAAATGACAATGGTTATAATCTACACACAAACAGTTAATAGTTAATACGTCCCTCGATTAATTTTTAAAAGCTCGAAAAGATGTATTTGGTTAAAGGTTTTTGGAGTGCTCCCCTTCCCTTATTTTGTTGGTTAAAAAGTAGAAGGGAAAAGGAGGGGTTCAACCCCACCCCTCCAATTTGGGACTTTTTGGATGGGATGGAAGAGGAGAGAAAAAAATTATAATTAAATTATTTATTTATTATTTTTAAAATTTTAAACTATGTTTGATATTAAAAAATTATGCATTATCTTTACTCCTTTCTTTTATAATAAAATAAATTTTATTCCTTCACAAAAATTAATATATAATTTTTATTGTCCAAAATTTTAATATTTTTTACATTAGATACATTGATAAAATAGAATGTTAATGTATTTATTTTTTAAAAAATATTATTAATAAAAGTTCATATCCTTAAAACAATAAAGATATTAAAATATAATATAACTATTTTTAATAATAAATCAAAGTAAAAAATAAAAATCAACTTAAAATTGATAAGAATAAAATTGTCAATTTATTATTAGTTCCTAAATCAAATAAATGTTCATTAAAATCCTTCCCTTCTCTCTTCTCCTCCCCTCCTCTTGAACCAAATATATTCTAGATTGATAATTGAGATAAATTTAAAAAGACTGAAGGTTGTATTGATGATTCAAGTTCCGCAAAGAAAGCCACTACCTAATCTCCCACTCAAATCCTGTGATAAATTGCCATGGATGGATCATCTCCATTCGTTGAACTGTCTTCTCACTCTTCCACTCTAAACCCCACCCTACTTACAATACCAGATCACTTCCTCTAATTCCCATTCGTCTCAGGGGGGATTGACTCATCATGCATATGTATATATAGTGTCGTTAATTAGTCAATCAATCCCATATATATACTGGCATGTTTCATATGAATAACTAAGTAATGGATGCATTCATCCTTTAATTTACTCTCTCTTTTCCTGTCATCTGCCTTTTGAAGTGGCCTGGTACCTAGAGGTGTATCATATGATCTGATAATTAGATTTGATGCTGCCCATTTTGTCCTATTTTTAAGGAGCAGAAGGCAGAAGAGCAGAACAAGTTTGTAATAGTGGTGTCTCAGTAATGATGATATGCTAGACTTCAGTGTACTTACAACAACCTACAGCAATATAATTGACCACGCATTATATTTATGTAATAGTGGTGCCTTCAAAATGTCCATCTTTTTTCTGCTGAATGTTTTTCTTTTCTTTTTGGAAGGAGAAATTGGTATGAATGCTGCGAGTTTTTGAGTGGTGAGGATTGCAACTTAAGCTGCCAAATCAAATCGAGCATTTATAGCCACATACACGACGTAAAGCAAGGATTTGGCTGTTGACTGTTGTGTGAGACCTTTAAGTTAAAATTAAGAATTCTAATTCGTAGCAATTTCAGTGAAAGTGACAACTTAAAAAAAAAACAAAGAAGCAAAAGAAAAAGTCACTTGTATTTTAAAATTCATAAGAATACTTTGAAAACAGAAATTTTCCTGTCCGTTTTCAGTTTTCCACGAATATTGATAATAGAGAAGACGCATAGCGGCAGCTATGTTTGATTTATTTTATTATTATTATTATTATTATTTTTTGTGGCCTGTGCTTATCACATCAATTTGTTTCATGTATATTGATGCTAACTGGCGAGGGAGGGGCAAGGCCTCAGCCCTGAAATTAAGTTAACATAAATCTAAGCCCCTGCAAATCACACATTAAAATGCTCTCTCGTCACAATCAGGTGTTGGATCAAATGAAGTATGATTAGCCATCCGATATTCGCAGAAAAAGTTTGCTTCACGAAAAATATGACCGTATACGTAACCCCTTGTCACTCTCTGATCTGTAAAATTCTTAATCCTTCAACAGTACTATTGATGAGAGTTACTCCCTCAATTTCTAAATATAAAAAAAAAATCAACTCAAATAATTTTTAAAAAGTTGGTTAAATACAATGATTATGTCTAAAATAAAAAAAGACTAAATTATCTCTACAATTAATGAAACAAATTTATCTAGTAAAAATAGACATTAATTTTATGAGAAATAATATGAAAAAATAAGATAAATATTTTTTGAAATTCATAATTTTGATTGTAAATATACACAAAGAGAAACATTATAGTTTTTCTTATATTAAAAAAACGGAGTAGTACGTCCTTCTTTTGTCAAGATCATTTACAGCGTTATATCTTCAAGTTTAATCTTCTTACCAAGTTCCCATGACTGGCCTAGTGACCCTGATTCTCATATCCTTCATTAGTTCTACTTTTATCATCGCGAACAAATCACCTCTTAAAGAGTTTAGCAAAATATACTATAAATTTCAAAATAGAATAAAAAACTATACTTCATCACCGTACAGTTTTATTCAAGGGCAAATTAAAGATTCAAGGTAGTATATTTTTTTTTTTTTTTAATAAAAGGCCACGGTAAAACCGTGCAAGGACCGGAATTAGGTAAGCTCAAAAGCCATAAGGCTTATACAATCAGTTAGTGGTACATCAAAAAGATAAACATCAAAATTATTCGGTGACGCCTTGTATGTCATAAGGTCAGCACATCTATTAGCTTTTCTGAAAACGTGCTTAAAAGTTATCTTCCAATTACGCATGGTAATATCTCTTATATTTTTGATGATGATTGAATAGGGGTGATTATGAGTATTGCTTTGGTTAATGAGAGATAAGGCCTCTATAAAATCAGAGTAAACGTTGACTTTAGGGATCTGGGCATTCTAGTAAAGTTTGAGACCTTCCAAGATTCCTATTAGCTTTGCAATAGTGCTAGGTAGATAGCCAATGCTTTTAGAAAAATCCTTAATCCAGTTGCCTTTATCATCTCTAATAAGTCTACCACAAGCCGCAACTCCGTTGAAGTTGATAGAGCCATCGAAATCTAGTCTAACCCATCTCGGCTTTGGCAAGATCTACTTAGTTGTATCATGAGAGCTATGATTGTTCAGAAGATTAACTTTGGATTGCAGCTTCACGTCATGGATGATTTGTTGCGTACTAGTGAAGGCTATATCGTTATCCAAATTATTTTCCTTAAAGTAGGCCTTCTTGTATCTTGCTTTCCATATGTTCCAGCAGGTTTGTGCAAAGAGTTTCTTTCAAGGCAATCTCCTTGTGGATGTGCTTCCAACTTCATTTTTTGTGTTCCAAAGAATCCAGTCCTGCATGGAAAGAGAGAAGAAAGTATTAAATTTATTAAGATTTACCAATTTTTCCCAAACCTCTTTAACTACCCTACAATCCCTTAGAATATGAATGAAAGAGTCAGGAGAGTTACAACTAAATGGGCAGGTGCATTGCTGATGGTTATTCCTATCAGAAAAATTGTACATGACTTTGAGACGATCCCAACTAACTTTCCAGAGAAAAAATTTAATTTTCTCATATGTGAGCCATTTCCAAATTATAGACCAGATATGTGAGTGGTTTTGATATTTGTGGACCTCCATAGCTTTATAGGTTGATTTGATAGAGAATTTGTCGTCAGAAGAAGGTCTCCAAATAAGTGTGTCCTCCGTACTAGATCGATTCACAGGTTGGATATGGGCGATGCGTTTGACTACATCATGATGGAGATATCTGTTAATAATATCAAAATTTCATCCACCATTAGTTTTGCACAAATCTGATACTCTGGCGTGAAGGATAGACTCAGCATTATTAAAGGTATAATAAACCAAAGATTTAGGAAGAGAAGTTCATTTATCATATCAAAAGAAGATTATAGTATATATTTTAATTACATATGTCTAAATTATTTGTTTTTAAAGTTATGAATCCTACTATAACTTAGATAATCTTTTAATATCAGATTAATAAGCGGTATATATGTAGTGTATATACCGTTGGTCCATGGACCATTGGGGACCAAAACATGACTTCCATCCCCACAATTAACAAACTCTATTTATATTTTGTGGTCGTAAATCGAAATCAATATAAAAATATAATATATTATATGCACGAAGATTGAGATATCATTTTCCATATTCCCTTTCTCATTTAACCCACTGAGAAGAGCAATGTTTGCCAATTGGTGATAGACATAGACCACAAAGCTTGCTCCCCGAAAAGAGTCTCACCAGCTTTTGGTAAAACAGTGAGAAATAGAGTCAGTAAAGTCACTTGTATTGTGTCAAAAAAAAAAAAAAGGAAAAAAGAGTCAGTAAAGTAAAGTCACCCTCTCTCTCTCTCTCTCTCTCTCTCAACCGAATAGTCCAAACCTTTCAGTCACTTTCCATGCCATTTGCCCCACACCCATTTTATTTACTCTCTTTATTTATTTACATCTGCTTTCTCATTCACTCACTCCCCAAAATATAAAAACAAGCAGATCTCTCACTCGCTTGCTGTTGCTGCTTCTGCTCTCTGCAAAGTCACTGTCTTCCTATTTATGTTGCATCAATCCTTCCTCTTTCTCCATCTTCACAGCTCATTCCTCCATATTTGGCCACTCAGACGGTTATTGCACCCAGTCCTTTCTTCACCTACTCCCTCGGCCCAGTCCCTGGCTTCATCATTTGCCCTTCTTTTCCTGCTCCTCTCTCTCTCTCCCCATTTTCTCGGACCCCTCCTCTGCCCTTAATTTAGCATCACTCACTAGTTTTTGTGCCCACAGTAACATGTCTTTTTATGCAGTTTCCTCCCGGTGGATTATGCATCACTCCGAATTGACGTTCATTTCTTTGCATCCTCGTGATGGCCTAGTTGTTTGAAGTGACATTCCAGTTTGTTCCCATATCTACTCCTATTTTTCTGTGCGTCTTAGTCGGAATTCAAGTTTCTGAAAATAAAAATGACTATTTTTTAATCATTGTTTTAATCAAATTACCCTCCTAATTCATCTTCCCTTTATGCAGCCCAGTTCCTCCGAGTTGTCGCGAGCTTTTCGGTGAAATCCCGTAAGAGGGAATAACTTATTGTTTGCAGTTTTGTATGGTATATCTTTAAAGAGAGATATCGAATAACAGAGCATAGAAGTGAAGGTAATTCCAATGGAGTGGTACCCAAAAGAGTCAGTACGGGATCCGCTGAGAGATCAGCCGAACACTGGAGAACGCCCGGTGGAGAAATCAATGTCAGCTGCGGGAGCAGAGATGTCGAATTCAAAATCATCACCGTGCGGCGGGGCATCGAAGAGGAAGCGCGTGTACCACAAGTCGCCGGAGAGGGTGAAGTGTTCGGTCGACGGATGCAACTTTGACCTGAGGAATTGCACGGAGTATCACCGGCGGCACAGGGTGTGTCAACCTCACTCCAAGACATCTCTTGTGCTGGTGAAGGGACAGGAACAGAGATTCTGCCAGCAATGCAGCAGGTAATGGTCGGGCTTCAAGTTAATCAAGCTTCGCGAAAATCCATGATGCCGTGAACACGCTTTCTATTACTTTGCTGTAGATTTCAGTCGCTGGATGAGTTCGACGGCTTCAAGAGGAGCTGCAGGAGACGTTTAGAGGGCCATAATAAGCGCAGAAGGAAATCTCGTCCCCCACCTATTGGATTCTCTGCTCATTACAGAGGTTTGGTTTATTTATTTGTATCTCCATGCCATCAAATCTTTTGCTCTTGGTTCATTCGTGATATAATATAATATAATATAAAAAGCAAGTAATGGATCCAACCCAGGACCCAGAATGCTGAAATTTGGAAATCCCACTGCCAACGATCCTTACGCGAAGATGTGGAGTGCTCAACATGGGAGCTACCATAATCGTTACCCACCAATTCTGCCAAAGATTGAGATTGAGCAACAGAGTGTGGAAGGTCGTGCCTTTGCCAATACAGGGAAGATGAAGGAGAAGCAGGTGATCAGTGGGGATTGGTACAATAACCACACGGTGGCGCCAGAAGAAGCTGGAATGGGAAGTAGTAGGAGCCAGAAGATGATGCCTTGGGATTCTGCTCTCTATCTTCTGTCAGCACAAAGTTCGCCGGAGTTCAGTATGGTGGAGTCAAGCATAGAGTGTCCAATTCAATCGCAACCTCCATGGGAAGAACGTGTTCAATTGGAAGATGACGATGGAACTCCAAACTGTTCGTGTTCAAGGAGTGTGACCAGCGGTCCCAGATTGGGTCTGGACGGTAACGCCACCAACTTTGATCACAATGGGATGCTTCAAATGGAGCCCCAGGTGATCGGAAACGATGGAGGCTCCGCCACTTTGCCTTTTTCCTGGGAGTGACGAAGCTGGAGATAATTTTATTCAGACTTGTTAATTAGAATTGTATGTTTCGGTTTCTTTAATTATTGGCCTACTCTACTTCAAAATCGGGCCTTGAATTGTGTACATTTATTTTTGCCAACGACGGTCAATTTGTCTGACGACCATAAACAAAATTCCACGGGTTGGAGTTAATAATGAGTTCGAATTTGGGAAGGTAAGTGTTATGGTTATGAGACAACCGTAATATTCCATTTTATTTTCAACTTGTTATGAAAAAGAGTGGTGGTCGGAAATTTAGGTGTGAAATCAGAGAACAAGTTGCATTTCACTGTTCAGCATTTGAGTTGACCGTTCCATCTTTTGTTTTCTAGCAGAATGATCGGTTTAACTTTTTGAGCTTCAAACTACTCCATAAATTTTTATTATTAGCAGGAGAGAAAAATTAGACCACACAATTTTAAAAAATCAATGAATTATATTAATCGTATTAAAAATAAAAAATTAAACTAAAATATCCTTCATTAATTATTTTTTATGCATGTGAATAATGAAATTATGAGAGATAATTTAAGAAATTTATAACAAATATTTATTGAAAAATGTAATTTTTATTTAAAAAATTAAAATTAATAATTTTTTTATAAATAAAAATGGAGGAAGTATAATGGATTTATTATTCTAAAATTTTTTGGATCTCTTATTCATTTTTTAAAATCCATATTTATATATACCTCCCCACAAATAAGAAATATATCATACAAACATCCATTTAATTTTGGTAGTTAAATAAATTTCTCTGTCTTTTTTTTTTTGGTTACTCAGAAAAGGAGAAAACCCCTAGGGAGGACCAACAAGGTCCAAACAAACTACAATCTCCAAGTTAATTTTATGTGGAAAAAAATTAAGAAAGCTATGTATAAAATGATACAATTTGATCATAAGTCCATAACATTAGTAAACATTGGTAACTTTTTCTGGCCAAAAAGAAAATACAATAATAAAAAATTTAAAATATATGTTTAATCCTCCAACTTTATATAAAGGTTCAATTTCATCCTTTAATTTTATAAAAAATCTTTTTAGGCCTTAAACCCTAATATCATTAGTTTCAAATAATTATTTTTTATATCAATCATTATTATTTTAAAAAAATTAAACTTAATATATCAACATTTGATAATATTTTTTTAATATTTAAAAATTTAATATAAAAATTTGTTAAGATAAAATTAACAACCCTAAGGTTAAAAGATTTAAAAAATATTTTATAAAATTGAGGAACTAGAAAGAAATCTTATATAAAATTAAAGGAATAAATATATATTTTAACCTAAAAATGGTAAAATTAATGCCATGTTTGGAAGGTCACTTGCAACATTTTTTATTGTGTGTAAGCATAAAGGCAGCAAATATAACCCAGTATAAATGAAGTGCCTTGTAAAAGCGGGGAAAGAGACTGCGGTATTTGCAATTTCAAGTGTTACTTTTTTACCTAAATCTTCATAGGCTATATAACTTCCCTACCATTTAAAATTTAACAACATGAATAAAATTAAATTGGACAATAATTTATTTTCATAATGAGAAATAAGGTATAAAATTTTTAAATTAAAAATATCTACATGATTTCATCTTGTAAAAGGTATGGAATTATATGTACAAAAATAAAATTTAATATCGTAATTATTAGTCGAACATCATCTGATGTTGAAATTTTGGTTATTTTAAAAATATCTACAGACAAATCGCAGAGTAATATATATCTTTTGAAAAAAAAATCGAATTTAACGAAATAAAATTAAAATCATTAGTACTGAACAGATTATAAAATTCTTAAGCTTAACAGGAGATGCATCGGTATTTTTTGTTTATTTCATCACCTGATACTTTGAAAAATCCAAAGCATTATCATGTTTCACTTAAACTAACTCAAACTCATATTACTATAAAAAAAATCTCATGAGCACCTTAAAGATACCTTTAACATTTATTTAATGTGACTATATATTTTAAAATTTAAATTCAAGATATTAAGATAAGCTAGTTCAACTTCTTAAACCAATCAAACCAAACGCCCTTGGACAAAGACAGACTGATGTTATAGCTCTAAAACATAGTTGCCGGTCAATTGAAGGACATAATATCCAATAGAATTTCATAATCCAAACATTAAATTAAATACTCCCTCTACCTTACTTCCTTTGGACTATAATATAAATTATTATTAATTAATTTACATTTCTAAAATATATTAGTTAACATCTTGATTTTTTAAATTTTTTTATATTTTTCCAATCGTGCTTTTAAAGGTAATAAATATAATATTTAACATATTCAAAACATCTTCATTAATTACTTAATAAAATAAGAATATAATTGAAAAATATATCTAGAGCACTTACCAAATGCTCTATACTTTGAACTAAGGAAAGCTTTTAAAAAAGACTTGTATTGTAATATAGGCGGGATGGATTATTTTGCAAAATAGATAGATAGATAGATGCGTTTGCATCCAGTGCTCATCATTTTCAATAAGCACCGCAAGCTCATTAGATCAGGAGAGATCTTGACCCCCTATTTTACCTTTATTTGATCCTTGTCATTTATTTAAATTAATTTTTTAAAAATTTTTAATATTATATTTATTAATATAAAAAATATAAAATTTTAAAATTTTAATATATCTATTTATTACTAATATAGTCAGTACAAATTTAATCTAATAGTCTAATTTAATATTAAAAAAATTATAATTTTATAATTTGATTATACAAACAAACTTAGTTCAGGTATAATTTAAATGACCTAATTTAATATTAAAAAATTTATAAATTTTATAAATTAATTATTTAAATGTACTCTAAATAGTTCAAATTTAATATTAAAAATTTTTATATTTTTTTATTTTAATAAATATAATTCTAAAAATATTTAAAAAATTAATTTAAATAAGCAACAAGGATCAAATAAGGCTAAAATAGAGAGTCAAGATCTCTCTTTGCATGATGAGCATACGGTGCTCATCACAAACGATGAGCACCAATGCAATTCCTAGATAGATAGATATAAAGTTGTCATTACCAACAAATTCAAATTAAATACAATTAAGAATCATAACAGAGGAGATAGAGAATGTATGATATTTTTAAAGAATAAAAATTAAAAAATAAAGGATAATTTTTAAAATGAGTTTAATTAATAAATTACTTTTTTTCAAAATATCTTATATTGTAAAATATTAAATAACTCTAAAAAAAAAAAGAGGAAGGCTCTACAATTAAAAAGGGGGGTGTCCTGGACAGGGGGAACCTCCCTTCAGAATGAGTCAGATAAATTTGGAAGCCTATCCCTAGTTAGAGGGATAGTAGGGCAACGTTTTAGGTGCACTTGCTTTCCCTCACGAGGCTGAGGCCATTCAGATTATGAGATTCTTCTCCTCGGAGACACGCAGCTCCAACTGGATTTGGCATCTTCTTCTATTTCAACCACTCCACTACTTTCTTGTCCCTTTCTGCTTGTTTCCTCTCCCGCGATATTGATGGCCATCATCACTCTTTCTCTAACGTTTATGACTGACATACAATTTGGCTTCCTTCGCTTCCTCCCGCCACATGATTTGTGTCCTTAATTCATGTTTGGTTGGTTAACTCAGATTCTGACTCCATGCTGCAAGCTTAGGAAACAACACGTTGGATGTCTGCAAAGGATAGTTAAAGCACCAAACTACTGCACTGTCATTCACCATTGAAAAGTTTATGATGTTTAAACATCGTTAAAAGCAGTAAACTACCTTGGCATCTACATAACCCTCAGTATTTTCCCACAAGGAACATAATTTGATTCGCTTCACCATCATCACCTCTAAGGCTATTCCAAATTACTATCAGATTTGTATTGTAAATAAGAATAACAGTTACGAGGCTCACTTATGATTTCACAGCATGGTGTTGGGGACTGTGGAGGATTAAGAATTATTTCATCCTAGGATTATTGCGAAAGTGAGACATCATCAGGGAAGCAACCTTTATTCTTCTTTCAAAATATCAATATCACGCTCCATCCAGAAAAATGGAATGGCAGGGTTGAGTGAGCATGACTCATGTACGGGCTAGAGCAAATTGATTCTCCTTCGAAGACACATGTGCATGCCTCCGAGGTGGAATAATGTGTCACCTTTGAGTAGTGACGAAAAGGTAGCAAACTGAAAGTCGAAAGATTCTGAGGCTGCAAAATAAAGTTCTCAGCATTTTTAATCAATCAAGCGCAAATTCTTCGGAGAAGTGGAGTACTCTTCTTCTTGATGGATATATACAAGACTATGGATTCTATGAATAAACATAGATGAAGAATCTATTCATCAGCAAGTTCATGCAAACGTTCAGAACTTGAAGAAAAAGGATAATTAAATACATACAATAAGACGACTGCACTAAACCTCCCATCACTTGCACAAGCATTAGTGCTTGTCCTCCTTGGGAGTGTCTTTAGGAGGAAGCTTCGATTCAAGTTCCTTCGGAGAGGACTTATCCATTGCCCTGCAAGAAGATAGCAAGAATCATGTTACAATCTATCGATTTAACCACTAGAAAGAACAACCACCATAATGGTTGGCATTACTCATATACTTTATCTACGATTACGATATTTTGTTCCTATCAGTATATCTAATCATAACTGGAAAAAAATAGAATTATACCCTGTCCAGTACATTATATTGATATTGCAGGCTAGAAAGAACTCATTCATGTCTGTCAACCCAAAAAGCTATGACTTGATTTTAAAATTCCCATTCGCCTTTACTCTGCCAGAGGTGGCAGAAGGGGAAAGAATAAGAACAAAGGCTGACTCAATCATCCCAACAAAGTGAAGAAATCCACTCCGTATGCTACACGATCACGAAACTCTCGCCAGCTGCGTAATTTTTCATACGCTTTTATAAAGCAACAAGACATATGCTCCACTGTCATATAGGAAGAAACGGGGAGTAATAATGCAGATGCCTTGTGCAAGCACATGGAAGACCCTTACTAATTTTAGAAAGGGATAAAGAAAAGAAGCAAAGATCGGCAAAGAAGATAGATGCTTTCAATGCCGACTCGCCCTTCTCGAAGACGAGTACAAAAAGCAAGCAACCAGAGGTCCGCATCAAAGGGTTGGATTCGATAACAGTACTTAATTTGTATTGCCTGAGTTACTGTATCATTTAAAATACCGATCAATAGTTTTAAATTTATATTGCACGTGATATTAATAAACGAGTGAGTTTATCTGAACTTTTGATCTATATTTCAATGGCTGAAATGGTATAAACACTCAGTGCGTCTAGAAAGTCACCCAATTCAAATCCATGAAATTGATGATAAGCACGATCTGAACATTATTTAAACCAAAAGCAATGAAACCACCCACAAATCTATCAGCGTAACGCAACGCAGTATTCAAATGGTTCGGTTAAAAATCAAGCAGCCACACGTAATAAATCTGAGTAGGAAAAATAAAAGCGAAAAAAGACGCGCAAGAGTTCATTGAAAAATCACAATGTTTCAAAACAAAGGCTTACTTGGATGAAGCGGCAGTTTCTTCTTCAAGCCAGTTGCGGATGTGCTTGACGTTGCGCCGGAACATAGCCGCCGATTGCCTGACATCAGTCCTGAGCAGAAGGAAGACAGCGCCAACACCGGCCACAGTCAGCACGAAATTCGTGAGTCCCATGGTCTCTGCTGCTGAGATTCGAATAGGGTGCGCATCTGTGCACGGACGAGTGACGACGACGACGTAAAAGCACTCTGGCCCAACACCCAGCCGGGCCCAATTATGAAAAAAAATGGCCCGCTGGAGAATGCCGAATTAAATTAGCTCCTTTTTCTTCCGCGAGACACGATGCAAATGGATACCCCATCCAACAAAAGACAATGGCCCTATGCAGCGCCAACCCCAATCTCCCCTCACCCACATTGTTTTTCTTCAGATAAATTGGCTTACCAGTTACAAAAAATCTTATGTCAGAAAATATAAATTAAATTTTTAAAAACTTAAAAATGTGGCTGGTTCATATTAATACACAAAAAAATTAGTATTCATATAAGAGTTTATTATTAAAAATTTAAAAATTTATAAGAAGTTCGTTATTAATATATAATGACATATCATTGACAAATATAATAAATCGATCATAATATAGAATATAATAAATGTAGAGTTATTTGCTTGATTTAGTCTTATAATATAGGCTATACTTGTAAAAGCACCCAACCAAAAAAAATATTTATAAAAAAGTGAAAGGAAGAACACGATACAATATGCATTGTCATAAATAAAATCTGATATTGGCACGGCTCAATCAGACAAAAGGACTCGAATGTCTGGAGAACTTTGATCTGATTGAGCCGTGCCAACATCAAGTGGAATGAGACGAACAACTAATGAGAAAACAAATGAAGACAAGCCTAGGAGTTGAGACATATGTAATGCAAGGAAAATGGAGGATGTAGGGAGGAGTGAAAAGAGTAGGAATGGTTTGGGGGAGAGGAGGGAGGGGAGATATATATAGATGCATAGAGATGATGCAGAAGAGGGTGAAGAGACAGGGGAGAAGAGGAAGAAGGAACAATGTGATTGGGGTTTGATTGATTGGTTACACCAAAATGTAGGAGAAAAGCTAGACGGAAGGTCCCCCATGAATGTGGGCATTAATTGAAGCTGCTTCTACAGCACTCAGCGTGATCCCCTTGGCTGTGCGAGTCATAATTGACGACTGGTTTTCGCACAGCTTGGCTGTGGCCACTTTTCCAATCTTCCTCCCCCACTTGTGCACGTTCTGTTTCTGCTGCCTCCTTTGCAGAAGCCATGCCAATCTTGTTCCTTGTCTCCGCCAACCAAAATCGACACCGATCTTCCCACTTTCTTTTACCACCATGCCATGCAATACCACACCTTCCTACCAGGCCCATCCATTCATTAACATTTGTCAACTCTTAGGCTCAAACCCTAGCCCATCATCCTCACCTCACTCGACACTACAATGTCTCCTAAAAAAAATTAACATTTCTTTCCTGCTACAGTTAGTGTTTATACATCCTTCGTTCTAGTTTCTTGCATCTTGCTTGACGAATGGATCCCTCTGTAAAGCTTCAACATGCGTCACTGAAAATATTTTAGTGTATTAATCTTTACCTTCTTTTACATATTAAATGCTAAGAAAAATATTAAAAAATAATCCTTTTTAATTTTGTTAGAAAATAGAGATAATAACTTATTAAATTTAAAGACAAAGTTAATAATGTTTAGAATTTTTCTTACTTATAAATAAAATTGGAAGGAGAATTTATTTATTTTGATCTTTTATATTATAAGTTATTTTAACTATTTCATTAAAATTAAATAGATATAATTAAATTGTTGATATTGTTTAAAAAAATTTAATCTTCTCTTATTAAATGTATCGTCTTTAAAATTTTTACCTTGTGTACATTTTACTCTATATAAGAAAGTTATCAAAGAGTAAAATTATTAAAATAAAGTAATTAATAATTAGTTTTTTTTTTACAAAATGACCTATAAAAAGGATCATTAATACTTTTTAGAATATACGACTTAAATATAAGATTGGAATAATTTTGTAGAAGGGAAAACTTAAATACTTTCCATTATATATTTAAAGTGTCAGTTTTCAATTAAATTAAAATTTGTGTATATTTTATAAATTATTTATTTTTTAACAAATTCTTATTATTATTATTATTATTATTATTATATTAAAATTCATTGATTTGATTGTATAAAAATATATTAAATATATAAAATTAAGTATAAAAATCTTATTCTTTTGAAGAATAGTATATCATATGCAATCTCACTGTCAACCCTAATCCTATCATATTCAATATAAGTTAATATCATATAACCCCAAAAAAAAAAAAAAACTTATCCCTTAGCAGCAAGGAAGGTTCTAAAATTTAAACGGTATTTGGTACCGCACGCAAAAGAGAATTAAAAATCAATTAACCAGCAGCGTGCCAAAACAAGAAAAAGAAAAAGTTGAAAGGCAATAAAAAATCATCATTAAAATCATTGCTTGATTAACCCTTCGCTGGACATTTAGCATCTAAAGCCCTTCTTCTCTTCTTTTGTAAACCCCTCATCAACCACCAACCTCTAATCACTCATACATATATACATACATACATACATAATTCAGTCAAAATGTGATAATGAGGCTATATATATTTTCACTTTGTGATTAATGTGCATCTTGTTGTTGTATGCGAAGATTATAATGGCCACATCAATATGATCCACAAATGAAAGCTAGGGTTGCATAAAAGGTTGACTCGACAGGAATTTAACTTAATCCAAAGTCTAATTATTTTTATAAAAAGGATTGAGTTAAGCAATCTATAATTTAATCTAGTCTTAATATAACTTAAAGTCGAATATGACCGGATTGGTCCAATAAGACTAGGAGATTGGTCTTAGTCTTATTCAGCGTCTCACTTTGTTTTTTTTTTCCTTTTCAACTATAAGAGGTGGCAATTTATTTTAATATAATAAACTTAATTAACATAATAAAATTATTTATAGTTGTTTAAAATTTATAACAACAATAACTATAAATCCAAAACAATCTTCAATAACAATAAAAAATATTTCAATTACAATACAAACGATTCAAATTAAACAACTTTTAATAATATTAATCAACTTTCAACGTGTCTAAAGTTCATTATACCAAGTTAACAACAACTTTCATCAATAAAAGGAGAAGACTGATGTTGATAAATGTTGGAATTTTCCTGAATTCACAAGTATGAAACACAAAAAATTATTAATTATTATTATAAATTAACTTATTGCAATAATTATAACTATATTAAATAAATTTATAGGACCGAATAAGATCAAGTGGTCTAGATGCTTGATCTATTGTCTAGTCCAACTTGAAGAAAGAGTCTCATTTTTTTAATCTTTTTAATCTTAAAAAATCAATTTTTATCTAAATCTGACAGGATCAGATTGTTTTGAGTTGGACTTTTGCACAGTTCTAATAAAAGCTACGAGGCAAGGAAATGTGAGAATATGCGTGCAGGTGTTGCAGAAGAACATGAAGAAGCAGATAAAGGCAAAATACTGATTGTTCTTCTCAAGTTTCTCCTTCTTTTTCCAAATATTATAACATTGTTAGCAGGACTCAGTTTGATTTCAACTTTTAATTCATGAAAGGAAATTATTTGGGAGGTGGAGGATATTTATACAATTACCTGATTTCGAAACTCTTAGGAAACTCGCACACACGAATGCCTGTTTGACACGTGGACAAATGAATAAATATTTTGCAAAAAGAATGAAGCAAAATCAACGTCTTCTTCGGCCAAGAACCCAAACAGAAGAACAGCCAAATAAGAATATGAATGCGATATCATCGATCTACACAAATACAGGGCAAAGAGGGCCTATCAGAGTGTTCAATAATAGAGATTCCGTGCAACCACCGAATCTCCGCTACCTGTTCAGATAACAAAGCACTCCGTGCGACACCTCAAAAATTGAACGCATGTTTCCCATTCTCATTCCCTTCCCGAGAAAGCAAAAATCAATGGTTCACTCCGTGGCTGGAGACTTGAGATCCAAGTAAAATGTGTCCTAAGTCTATGCCATTCGTGCCCACGAGTTTAAAATATCTGAACGTGTTAACATGCAAAACACGATGGTGCTCAGTTACCGAATCACTAAACGTGGAGGCAGAAGGAAACGCAAAGCAAGAAAGAACCTCACTTGTCTTGCTAGACAATGGGGTGGAATATCTTTACCCTGTAACGCTCATTAACTTTTGATGCCTGTCTTTTGCTACTACATGTCTGATTAAAGCAACGCAATTCAAGTGGGCTCGACCATTTTACACTTCTCACTCTTTGCTTGCTTGCCTCATCTGTCCTGCTCAAAACTCAAAAGGCAAGAGCAGAACTGCTAGACTAACTCACAGATGATGTTTGGATTACGTGGTTTCGTGAGACCAAATCCAAAGGCCAAAACTCATTTAGTATTATCACAAACAAAGTCGTCTGTACACTTCTCAGGTTGTGGTACCATGGATGCCGTGTCGCGTTCAAGTGTCAGGGAATTGTGCCACTTGTTATGCCTACGTGCTTAAACGTTGCGTTAGTGCAACCTGCAGAATATTCGACCTCTGTTCTAACACGCAAGGAAGAGCACTGTTGCGATTGAGATTTAAATAGGGATTGAAGAAGATACCATCCTTATCCACTTCCTATTCCGTCTACTCTTATTTATCTTTTCAATGAAGATAAGGTTTCTATTTCTTTACTCTGCCTCTGCTGCACTGGGATCAGGTGATTCCAGTGGTTGCCCTTGTTAGTGGCTTCAAAAAGTGTCTGAAGAGTCCATTTTTTACTAAATACTTAGAAACCCCAAATTCTTAGATTTCTCGTATTATTCTGCTAATGATTTGACAATTCATATACAGCAAGACAGATTAACGGACGTAGTGATTCAATTCTTCTGTTGATAGCCTGCTAGAAAGAACCCTCTACATTAAACTCCTGGACAAACCCATCCAGTATTTTCAGGGAAAGATATGATTGCCTTGCACATGTACTGTGCAACCTGGCACACAAAAGGAAGTTGAAAGATTTTAAATAAGGAGGAGTTGCCAATTAAGTCTCCAATAGCTTGCTCATGCATTTCAGTTTGCAGGGGATTTTCATGTGTGTGACTCTTGGCATGCAAGTAAGGCGGACATTAACATTTTAGTGATTAGTTGATGGATGGATCTTAAAGTGATTACTATCCGCCAGATGGCATTTTTAATTAGGATTAAGGAGATAACTTCGCATCTCCAGAAGCATAGCAGATTTAAGAAAGCAATGATTGCTACTCGTATCTTTAAGTATATAATAAAGGAACAACTGGATCATTGATATCTTAAAAGGCACCTAGATCAAATCAACTAGTGATTCGAATATATCCGTCAGCCAACATGAATTAAAGACATTATTCCTGGGGATATATTTACTCATCTCTGCTTATGCTCATGTTCTTCTGCAGTAAAATAAATAATCTGCACGAAAAGGTGGCGACAGAGCAATATATAAGGAGTCCATCCTGTTACACGCAGATTGCAGTATAGCAAACAGCAAGACACAGTTAGAAGTGAGAAGTTGGCGGTGAAGATAGAGTTTACCCGTAAGCGTAGCAGAGAGCTGTTGAAGGGGAAGTTGATGGGTTTCCATAGGGGAAACAAGCCATCCTCAACAAGTCACAAGGCGAAGCCGAGCTTGTCATCTTCATCTTCTGGTACTGCCGGGCACGTGGCTCATCAGGACTACGTGATGGCACAGTCAAAGCCGAAGGTTTCATTTGTGGTGGCAGATTATAAACGCGGTGACCTTGTTGCCCAATTGGAAGACATGTATGGAATAGCTGCTGATGAGAGCGTGGACACCAGAGCCTCTCTGTATATATCTAGGGTTCAAGAGCGTTTCAAGCTTGAGCGACTGAACTCTGACCGCATGAAGTTTCAGGAATCAAGTTAGCTACTGCTCCGTCTGGCTTTCATGTATCTCTCACAAAGAATCCATAGTTTTCAGGGTCGTGACAGCGTTTGTTCTTGTTTTCTTTTATAGATAAATTGTAACCATCTACACAATAACAACAGCAAACTATCAATCGCCCTTTGTCGTTTTAATCTCACAGCGCAAATCCCCCTCTTTTCTCTGATTATTCGTTACTAAAATTTGCAGTCTCCTAAAGAATGAATGTATCCCCGATTTCTTCTTCTCCATGTTATTAGGAGAAGAATTTATACACGCTGGCACTCGCATGAATAAAATCTTTCGCTTGTCTTAAAAGATTAAACCTGATTCAAGGATGCATGGAAATTCGACAAGTTCATTTAAAAACCTTGGTCCTTTCATAGTGTTCTAAAAATTCGCAGCTTCCTAGACTTTCTAGCATGTAATTTTCAACTGGACATTCTCGGCTTCCTCTGTTGTCGAAATAATTGCGATTTCTTTCTATAAAAACATAGTCGGAACTGAAAGAAGCAAAAAACATATGGAGAAATATCTTGTCTATTATTGAGCAGAAGGGTACAATATATACATCAAGAAAAAGACAAGAAAAAGACAACCTAATAATGATTAATAATTGCATAATAATATCAAATAATATCTCCTAATAATGACTGAGATATATATACAATAATGATAAAATATTTGGAGAATATTCTAGATAACATCCCCCCTCAAACTCAAGATGGTTTGACCAAAAGCAACTTGAGTATGTTTACCAAGAAATGAAAGCGGCTTGGATTAAAAGACTTTGTAAACAAGTCTGCCGGTTGATGCTTGGTTCGAATTGGAACAAGTTGGATAGTGCCCCTAACGACATGCTGCCAAGTGAAGTGGCAGTCAATCTCAATATATTTGGTTCGTTCATGAAACACATCATTGTGAGCAATTTTGATTGCAGCTTGACTGTCACAATAGATGTTTGTGGAGGAGCTTTGAGATGCTCCTAGCTTGTCAAGTAACCAACGAAGCCAAAGTACTTCAGCAGTTGTGTCTGCTAGTGCACGGTATTCTGATTCAGCACTGGAGCGGGAGGCTAATGTCTGCTTCTTACTTTTCTGAGAGATGAGGGAATGGCCGAGGAAGATACAGAAACTAGTCGTAGATCGTCGATCATCACGATCACCACCCCAATCAGCATTGGAGTAAGCTCGCAGTGTAAGAGAGGAGCTAGCAGAGAAGTGAAGCCCATGATATAGAGTGCCTCTGATGTACCGAAGGATTCGGAGAACTGCTGCATAATGAGTAGTTCGAGGCTCTGACATAAATTGGCTAACAATGTGGATTGCATAAGCAATATCAGGACGGGTCACAGTAAGATAGATGATGCCTCCAACCAACTGACGGTAACGGGTGGGATTATCTAGCAAGGTGCCATCAGTGGAAGTATAGTGAACGTTTGGCTCGATAGAAGTATTTTCAACCTCTCCTCATCAGAAAGATAAGTTCGAGATATCAAATCAGTAGCATACTTGACCTGAGAGAGAGAGATACCATCTCTCTTATGATGGACCTCAAGTCCAAGAAAATAGTTCAAGTTACTAAGATCCTTCATTTCAAATTGGTGCCCCAAGTATATCTTGAGCTCGTGGACTCCTGTATCATCACTGCCTGTAATAATCATGTCATCAACATACAACAACAACAACAACACAATACCACGAGCAGTAGATCGAAAAAAAGAGCTGAGTCATGAGGACTACAAGTGAAGCCTAGCTAACTCATAGTATTACTAAACTTAGTAAACCATGCACGAGGAGCCTGCTTGAGCCCATATAAAGCTAGACGAAGACAACAAACCTTATCTTTTGGATGCTGATACCCAGGTAGAGGTTTCATATACACTTCTTCCTCTAGATCTCCATTCAAAAAAGCATTTTTAACATCCATCTGATGAAAGGACCAGTGCTTAACAGCAGCAATGGCTAGAAGACTACAAACAGAAGTCATGCGTGCAACAGGTGCAAAAGTCTCCTCATAATCAACACCATATTCCTGTGTAAACCCTTGGGCCACCAAACGGGTCTTACGTTGCTTTAAAGAGCCATCAGAATGAGTCTTGTTTTTGTACACCTATCGACAACCAATAAGAGTTTTACCAGAAGGAAGATCAACAAGATCCCAAGTGTGCATTTTCTCCAAAGCCTGCAATTCTTTATTCATAACTTGCTGCCATAAGGGATCACAAGAGGCTTCCTTAAAGGATTTGGGTTCCTGTAACTGGAGAATAGTGGAAAAATAATGATAATCGCTAAGGTAAGAGGGCGGGTTTCTTATACGGTGGGGCCGAGTATCATCGGACAATACGGGCTCAGGAGACGTGGCTTGTGTAGAAACATCTTGAGGCGTGACAGTAGGCATATCAGGAGCAGGCGTAGCATTAGTAGTAAGCTCTACAGGGGAATCTGCATCAAAGTCACTTGGAAAAAGATCAAGTGAAGGATCTGTGAAAATAGAAGGTGAAGGAGGAGAAACAAAGGAGAAATCAGTTAAGGATGAAAACATCATATGTTCCCAAAAAACATGACGAGAGATTCGAATGTGAAGAGATATAGGATCCCAGCAACGATAACCCTTATGCTCAGGGTCATAACCAAGAAAACAACAAACACAGGCATGGGCTTGCAATTTGGTAGTTTTATGTAGAGGGAGGAGAACAAAACAGACACAGGCAAATACTTTCAAAAGACTATAATTAGGAGGAATACCATGAAGGCACTCGAAAGGAGAAATATTACCAAGAACTGGGGTAGGAACTCTATTTATACAATAGACAGCGATTAAAGTAGCTTCCCCCCAGTAATGTTCAGGACAGGAAGAAGAAATGAGGAGGGCTCGAATTGAGTCAAGAATATGACGGTGTTTTCGTTCAGCTCGGCCATTTTGCTGAGAGGTGTAAGGACATGAGTATTGAGCTCAAACATTCGACCAACCTTACACCCAGTCCCGATAACCTGTCCTGTCTGAGAATTAGAAACAACACAACCACATTTGTTAAATAAAACATCATAGCCCATATCAACTAATTGTCCGATAGATAGGAAATTAAAACTAATGTTAGGGACTAAATAAGTATCATGAATAGACAGAGAGGGCAAGGAAATAGTACCAATGTGACTAACAGGCATTTGGGAGTTATCAGCAATATATATAGGGTGAGCAGTAGTATTAGGTGACATGGAGGAGAAAAAGTATTTTTGACTAGTCATATGGTTACAATAGGCAGAATCAAAATACCAAGAAGGTGTACCTGAAGGTGTGGCTAAGGCAACAGGTGGACTGGAAGAGCTGGAGATAAGCTTGCGGAGTAAAGACTCAAGTTCAATAGTAGAGGATCCTAAAGTGGAAGTAGCAGCAATAGGTGGCTCATCAGTAACAGATAGAGCAGGCTTGGATGATGAGAAACCAGACTTGAATGACCTCCCTTGATCAAGTTTGGGAGGTCGAGTGGGGCACTGATCAATGAGATGCCCAGGCTTCTTACAATAATGACAAGTTAAAGAAGGACAATTCGCAGCAATATGTCCCTTCTTCTGGCAAGTTCTGCATTCAATATATGGACACTGATCAAAAGTGTGAGTAGATTGAGGGCAGCGACTACAAAGCTTAGAATTCCTTCCAGGAGTAGCGAAAGCCATGTCAGGGGATCGTTGGAGAAGACCCAAACGAGTTTCCTCTGAATGGAGACGAGGAAGAGCATCCTCAAGAGTTGGAAGTGGGCTTTGGTGGAGCAAAAAGGCACGAACAGGCTCAAAATCATCAGTAAGAGCCATCAAGAATTGTATAAGACGAAGTTGATCTTGCCACTTGAAGAAAACTTTAGCATCCTCATCATTTTTAAAAGTAGGCTCAGAATAGGCTAGTTCGTCCCAAATAGCCTCCACTTAGAAAGAAACTTAAGCAATGGTTAACCTTTCTCCATTTTGAGAATAGCCAAGTCCTTCTGCAGTTGGTATTGATTAGACAAATCAGAAGAGGTATACCGACTAGCAAGATGATCCCATACCTCCTTAGTAGTTTCGAAGCGCCCGAACTGTTGATGAATACTAGTGGTAGAAGTATTCTGAAACCATGTTATGATTTGATTATTTTTACTATCCCAATCATCCAACCGATTAGTAAATTTTTGATTATCTTCAAAAGAGGATCTAATGGGAAATGAGACATCTCCAGTAAATAATCCTAAAGTTTCTTGCCTTTCAAAAAACCACGCATACTTTCCATCCATAAGTGATAGTTAAGACCAGCCAACAAAACAGAAATAGGTTGAGCAACCTCAGATTTCTCCATGGAAGAATAAGGGGTAAAAAATAAATAAATAAATAAGAAAGACCAAGAGGAGACAGTGATTAAACGAGAATTTCATGATAAAGTAAGAATCCCAAAATAAAAGAGTTCACATGGATTGACTTAATCAGAGAGAGAAGTTCCATAAATTCAATGAGGAAGAAGATAAAATAGATGAAACAAGCAGATGAAAAAAAGAACAGCCAAGGATAGTGTTAAGGATGAAACAAGCAGATGATGGAGATGTAGTACTGGAAGAAGGAGCGGAAAAAAAATACGGCTCTAGTACCATGAAAGAAGCAAGAAACATATGGAGAAATATATTGTCTATTATTGAGCAGAAGGGTACAATATATACATCAAGAAAAAGACAACCTAATAATGATTAATAATTACATAATAATATCAAATAATATCTCCTAATAATGACTGAGATATATATACAATAATGATAAAATATTTGGAGAATATTCTATATAACAGGAACAAAAGAAATATCTTCTCCCCTGCATTTCCCTTTCATCACTTTCCGTTTGTCTCGATTATCGAAACAGATATGATCCCTGCCCACCTCCTGCCCCTTATCATATCCATGCTCCTCACTCTCCCTCTCCCCCCTCATCTCATCCCCATAAAATGAGTTGTCTTTTACCAGCAAATTTAATTGTTTAATAAATAATTATCATAAAAAAATAAATTTAAATTGTTAAAATGGAACTTGTACAATTTACAATTATATATTATTGTTTAATTTATTTATAAATTAAATTTTTTATTATTTATTTTATTTCAATTATATATTAGTTAAATTTTAATAATTTAAAATTATCTGTTTATTTTATCTAGTAACATGCATTTGGTTAAGCTGGTCCAACTAGTAAAATTAACTTATCCTATGTCTTTAGTATGATACAAGTGACAAAAGTTATTCATCATGTGTTTTCAATCCTTCTAGTAGTGCTTGAAATTGTCATCCAACTATAACACTATTTTGTAATTGGAATGCCAAGATGATCAAGGATAAAAGAAAAAATAATGTTTGTTGTACTACTTTATTACATATCATCTCAAAACTTATCACAAGTTTTATTTAAAGACATTTTTTATCCATTGAATCCAACTCCTTTTTGGTCTGCCTTAGAGCCTTATTAATATAGATTAAATATAAGATAGATCAAAGGTTAATTGATCGTTGTAGTTTTTTTCTAATCTGTTATAAAAAAAAAATTTACAACTGTCTTTTGTAGAAACATCATTCTGATCATTCTTTGATAATCAATATTAGTTTACTATTTCAGAATTTTGGCATTGTTTACTTTAATATTCCCTAAGAAAAATCTTATTTTCTTTCCCCTAAAACCTTTATGATTCCCCAGGCTTATGTTATGTAAGCTACCTTCATTTTATTTAATTGATCTTTTTATTTACCAAAAAAAAAAAAAAATTTCCTATGTATATCCTTTGATATGCAGTCCAGTCACGTTGGTAAAAGCATTTCCTCACGGGGGGACGCTGAGGGAATCTGGTTCCATCATCCCATAGAGTAAACCTCTCGCCGTTTCATTCTCACATGTTCCCGGGATTCCCCCGCTTACCTCTTTTTCCCGAGTCGAGTCATAAAGAATTATGAGAACCTTAGTTGAAGATGAAGATGAACATTCTAAGGTTCTGTACGAGATCCAATCCATCATCGTTGACATTCTCAGGTTCCCTTCTTTACCCCTCCCCTTTTCCACCCCCTATTCTCATGTTGCTGCTTCCTCTTCATCATCATGGTCCTCTGTTATGAGACATCTCTGGACCACTCTGTTGTCGTCGCTGGTCTCTCCAGCTGCTTGCGCTTCTCTGTTTTTGGGGATTTCTCTGACCTTGATGATCTTCGGGTCCTTGGCTTTTGCCATCGGCTTCGTGTTATTGCCGTGGGTTATTGCTCTGGTATTGACATTCTACACGGCCACGGTGGTTTCCACCTTATGCCGATTGGGTCGCACCGTTCTCGGTTCTGCTCCGGGGGACAACTATGTGCTCTGTGAGTCCCTACTTACCCCGCACTTGCTGTAAAGGACGACCTTTTGGGATTCCTTTTTTCTCTTGTTTGCTTTAATTATGCTTTGAAGCTTTTGTTGATCACGTATTTCGGTGTGGATTGAATTGAATAATTGTAACTCTCCATTCTCTTTGGATATCTACTTTTGCAGGTTGGGATTTATCCAAAAGCTGAGACCGATGTCTTTTTTAAGGCTAGAAGGGGAAAGATTGTCTGAGACGCTAAGATTGAAGGATGATGCATTTGCCTCATATATATTACTGACATTCTGGTTGTAAAAGAGTCGTGATGAAATTTGAATGAACTGGTTAATTTATGTCTCCCTTGTTTTACTGCAGAATCAGTCTTGCTTTTAATTGTTGGCTCAAAATCTTCCTTTTCAGTCTTCTAAATCATCACGAAGTTCGGATTACGAGGACAAATCCTACTTTTATATAAAACCTCTGTGCTTGATATTTCTGACCCTCAAGTCTCGCGAGTAATTGATGGACAGGATTTACCACAAAATTTTCAGTTGACAATGTCAAGTGATGTGCCAATTAATATAGTTTGTTTGGTAATAACAAGCGCAATTGAATGATACCATAATAAAAATCTTAGATAATGAATAAATTACAAAGCATATAAGAATATAGGAAGACAAGAGGTAAAACAAAGAAGTTTAGGCGTGAAGAATGGAGGGAGGGAAGGATCAGGAGCTGATGTGAACTCCAATGGCAATGATGAATATAACCATGAAGCCAAAGAAGAGAAGGGTATGGACAAAGATGGAGATGCCGCTGGTTTGGAAGTTGCAGAATTCGACGGCTCGGCCTTTGCCTGGAAGCTGAAAGAGCAAGCCAGGAGTGAAGAGCACAAACAGCACGAGGCCTATCACCACAGGACCCCAATCCGCCATTTTTATCAGCGAGAGAGCGAGGGGATGAGGAAGCAGTGGCAGAGACAGATGTAAAAGCGTGAAGGAGGAGGATCATGGATTTATAAGAAGCAAACTTAATTAGCAGAGATAGGGATGAGAGATAAAACAAGGTGGGGATGTCAAGGAAGGGAAGGAAGAAACATTCAAATGGAAAATGGACAAGAAGAGTGAGGTATTCTTATCAAAGTGAGCATTGGATACAACGATTCTGCGTTTGACTTCTTCCATCCCAGACGGCCGCTTTTGTCTGCGACTTCACTCTCCACTCCTCAGTGTGTCCTAGTATCACCCACTCTCTTCCTCATCAATCTCTAAACTAAATACCCTAGATACCTAAGAGTTAACTCAAATATGCAGAGAGTTTGATGAGAATTTCACGAAACAGATCTAAAATTGAGGTTATCAGAAATTAAACTGAGATTTTTTTCTCGCCTCTTTCTTCTTGCCTTCGAATTCCTTGTTTTTTTTTTTTGTTTTTTCGCATGATGATTCCCCCCCCCACCTTCCCTTCTTCCTTTCCTGCCAAAGGACATGCAAGTCCCTCATAGAAGGCTTATTTCGCGGAGTATGATTTAAAAAAAGAAAAACGTTGGAGAATACAAAAGTTAATGGAAATCTCTAGGATTTAGCTTTAACTTGATATGGAAACCACACGTATGATTGGTTCACAGTTGCAAAATTGTCCACCGATCAATATGCTGTGCTGCCTGGGGTCCACGAAAGGGGCAGTCCACGATATATGGAATTCAACCTCATGTCAATTCATTTCATTCTTTTCCTGCTTTCATACATGGTTCCGAGTTTAAAGACTCTGCACAAATCTAGGCAGCTACTTTAATAAAATTAGTTTAATAGAATCCGGAAGTTAGAGCTACTTTAATAAATCCGTAAAGCAAACAGAAAAAGAAGCGGCCGAGTGATCAATTATATGCAGAAGCTTAGGGGGGGGGGGGGGGAATGAATAAAGTAGCACTCCTAAATCCTCATAAAGCAGATCCACTACCTCGCATTATTATACCTTTCCTCCCTAGCTATCCCAATCTCTTCTTTCTCACCAAGTTTAGCATCATCTCCTTCTCCTTACAGGCCAAGCAACTCTCGCTACTTATTAAGAAACTGTCACATGGCGACATCATTCCATCATCGTCCACACGCTTCGACACCGCACACCACGAGTTCACAATGTTTGAGACAGAAATGGGAGCCGACTGGGGGCCGGTAATTGTGGCGGTGGCCCTTTTCATCCTCCTATCTCCGGGGCTGCTCTTTCAGATACCGTCGAGGTATAGGGTAGTGGAGTTCGGGAACATGAACACCAGCGGGATTGCTATTCTGGTTCATGCCGTCATATTCTTCTGTATTCTCACCATCCTGGTTATTGCCGTTGGCATTCACCTACACTTCACTTGATCCCATTTTGCTTCCAAGCTGTGCCACTTCTGCTCATTTGTTCAGTACGAGTTTTGTGTTATTATTGCTGACAGTAATCTTAGTCCTCTTTTCAGCAACGTCAGTTCTGTAAATTTCAGTCCCCCCATCAACTAGGAATGTGTAATATTTAGCGCGCTATTCCTACAAGTAGAAGTAAGCAAAACTTTGCAATGGCAGGTGTTCATGTTTTCAATTTTTTTTTCCCCTTTTCTTTGATTTCTGTATAATTTGAACTGGGGATGAAGGGATAGTAGCGTCCAGAGCGAGACAATACCCCTCCTCAGAGTAGACAACAAGGAAGGATGAAATGCTTGTGAGTTGTGAATATGTAGGTTTAAGTTTATAAAGAGACTAACTGAGTCAGTGATCATCTAGGTTCGGTTTGATCTTCTTAATTACAATTATAAATAACAATATAGCAATATGCCAATATTTTATCTTCTGAATTCTCATGTCTATGATTCACTAAATTTGGCCCAGCTTCTTCCCGCAGTTTAATTAATTATGCAGCAAATTTAAGCTGATATCGCCGCTGTATTGCTGATTCGCGTTTCACTCAGTCACAGCACACAGAAATTCCAATCCTAAATTCTACCGTGAGAGTTATAATTCGGTAACCTCGCACTAACATTATAGTAAAGTTCTGCCCATGAAGAACACTTTGTTACCTGTGGCCCCTCAAGGCTCCGTCATGTGAACCAATAACTACAAGAAATCTAAATAAAAAATAAAAAAGTGGCTGAAATTAAAATTTCAAAGATGAAATTGATATTTTCATAAAACCTCTGACTGAACATATGATGTGTAATCCTGATAACATGAGTGACTAGTTACCACCGGAATCATTTCCTCAGAAATTATTGACCGGAACAAATCTTCCAAGTCTGATCCAAAGTCCCAACATATAACGATAAATCATGGTTAGATAAACTATTTTGGCTGCTAGCCATTTATTGAATAGATATGTGGAACCCGAAAACAAGCTAGAAGACTAGAAGTCAAATCTTGTTACGGATCGGATTAAAAATATAACAAACTTTATTGGATTTTAAGATCTATAATTGACCAGTGTTCAATATATTAGTCAACTTAACAATACTGGGAAGAGAGAGAGACTAAAAATTGGCAGTCCAGCAGCACAGGCATAAATGACCAGATCAGATCTGAGCCGCGTAACTGTACAAAGGCGGGAATCAAGAAGAAGAATACAGAGTTACCGGTGGCGAAGGAAGGATCCAGATCCAGGAGTGTCAGCCGATGTAAATATGAATGTGGAGAGCCAAGAGAAGGATGGCGTAGAGAGCGAAGAAGATGAGGGTGTGAATGAAGATGGCTTTGCCGTTGGTCTTCATGCCTCCGAACTCCAGCTGCTTGCTGTGTCCAGGGAAGGAACAGAGCAACCCTGGTTGAAGCAGCACGAACAGCACCACGCCGATGAACACTGGGGCCCAATCCGCCATTTCCTTTTTCGATCAGATCAAAAGTTTGCCGATCTCTTTTCCAATTCCCCGCTTTCGCAGCCTCACCGACTCCACTTCGGCGTGCACGTTCCACTAGCGAAGGCCAGAGGTCTGGCCTCAATTTCAAAACCGTGAGCCTCTGGGTCCCACCTACAGTCTCTGCTCACTCCACTCAACCACCCCTCTCTCCGGATAATCCAAATCAAGTTATTATCGCCTTCCCTTTGAAATTATAAAATAATTTTAAATAAAATTATACGTATTAATACAATAAAATAGTAATACTTTATCTATTTTTAAAAAATAAAATTATAAATTTTTAAAAACGTGTTTATACAATTAATCATTACCTACAATATTATTCAATTTTCCCTTCATTTATAGAATAATATTAATAAAATTTTAATTTTTTTTAAATTGTTTTATATTTTAAAATAAAAAATTATTTTAATATTATTTTATAATTTGAAATGATGAGAGTATTATTTAATAACGATAGATCTGTCACGCTCAATTTTTAAATAGGATAATTAATTCCCATTTTAATGACCCCGAGCCCGTCTAGTTCGACCGCTTTTTGGATCCTTATCGTGTTGCATCCACGCTTACCAGAAGAATCACATTCCTTCGGCTTCTCTCAGCACCATCGTGACAACCCTTTCGGATAGGAATATCAATAAATATACGAAAGCAGAGAAAAGAGCCTTTGCTTAATTAAATTTCCGTTCTTTATTGTTAGTCGCTATAATACAGCAGCACAAAGTCGAGTGATCATTGGGTGAACAAAATAATGAGATTTTTATTTTCAGTAGCTTTTTCCTCCGTTTTTTCATCTTGTTGCTTCGACATTATAGCGAGAGTGGGTGACGAGGACAAGGTTGTAATCAAACATTAGATGGACAATGATGGAGCTTAATGAACCAGCTATAATCACCATTGTTTATTGAATTTTAATTGAAATGCTATCATAATAGAGCCAGCCAGACCAACCAGCGTTTTGAAATGGACCCGTAACGAAAACGATGCGTTCCCTTTTCTTATCCAGTAACAACCACAAGCACGACTGGGAAAAAGGAAAAATAAATAAATAAAGAGCATGATTGACTGATTATTTCTAGGTGAGGAATCGAATTCTCTTTACACGTGGTGGAGCAGAATAATATGTGGTAACAGATGTTGTTGGTCCTTCATATTCACATATCTCCAAATCCATATCTTGTTATTTGGTGTTAGGGTTGAGAATGTTGGATTGGGGTGCTCCTCTGATAGCAGCTGCCCTGTTCGCGTTTTTGTCGCCGGGATTGATATTTCAGATGCCGGGGAAGAATGGACCCTTGGAGATCATGAACATGAAGACCACTGCTGCTTCCATCTTCGTACACACTGTTATTTATGGTCTCTTCCTTATTTTGTTCTTTATTGTTCTTAATGTCCATCTCTATTTCTGACATGCTCTGATTACCCTTTCCTCTGTTTCTGTACTCCCTGTAATTGTAATGCTCTGCTGCAAACTCTAATCTTTGTACGGTCTCTTAGTTTTCACATGATTACCCTCCCGAGTGATTTGCATGCTTGTAGTTTTCGTGTAGGTGTGTAGCACGCATACACGTCGCCACTGTAAGAGATTGTGTTCCCTGCTGGGATTAGCTTTATTTTTCCTCATTTCAATTCTCTATTATTCTTGCATGAACTAAAATGAGACAACTTTGTTTGAAAGCCAGACAATAACAGAAAACTAAACCCTCTCTTTCTCTCTGCTTTTTGCTTTTTTAACGCAAGGTCAAAGTTAGAAACAGAAAAAAGGGCTTGATATGCAGCTGATATGAAAAAGTATAATTTTTTTTTTTGAAATTTTAATTTATTGAAACAAAAAACGGTAACGTAACCAACCCACATATCCGGGATGTGGCATGAGGATTCAACGTTTAAAGATGAGCTTCCAACGTTATTGCGTTGAGGAAAAAGGAGAGATTCCCGTTCTTCATCTCCACCCTCTGCTGCTAGTTGCTACCCTTTCTTTGTAATCAAAACTAAAAGGAAAAATGATAATTAAAGATCTTAAGATTATTAATTTTAATTAAAAATCATAAAATATTAAAATTTCAATTAAGGACCATGGTCCTTACTTAAAATTTAAAAAAATATGATTGTCTTAAATGCCTTAGTGAAGTTAGTAAATTTTTAAATCATTTTTATATATTTCATAAGTAACTTTAAAATATTTTAAAAGTAATTTTTTTTTCATATTGCAAAATAATTCATTTCTAAGTATAGTTCCTTATTTCCCAACTAATATTAGTAATATTCTATACTAAGATAGTGATCTCAACAATGTCATCCTTTTTTTCCAAGTGGTAATTCTATATATATAAGCATGAAATTTGACAAGTCTTTCGATTAATATTTTTGAGTGAAATTAGTAAATTTTTAAATAACTTTAATTTATTAATTTATAAGTGACTTTAAAATGTTTTAAAAGTGAATTTTTTCATCTTGAAAAATAATTTATTCCCAATGTGGTTCATTATTTTTTCAAATAATATTAACAATATTCTGATATTATAATAGTAATTTCAGAAGCGTTATGTACATTTTAGTATTTAATAGAGGGTAATTTTATAAAGTTATGAATATTTTTATTTTAAGTAAATATTATGATTTTTAATTGAAATTTTAATATTTTATGGTCTTTAATTAAAATTAATAATCTTAAAGGATCTTTAATTATTATTTTTTCAAACTAAAAAGGTCAAATATATTTTATGTAAAAACCGTAGCGCAACAAAATAAACTATAGACGGACGACACCTATAAAACCAATTACAAATGGACTCGTAAGTAGCGCATAAGCAAAGACCAAATGAAGAAACTACGCGGATAAAATAAGGCCCAACACGAAACAAGAGTCCAACGTAAAAATAGAAGAACAAGATCATCTTCATTTTCACAAGGCTTACTCCTCCAATTCAATATATAACTCACTTTTTAAAAACAAAATTTAATTTACTTATAAGGATAAAATTATTTTATTTTATATTAAAATTTTTAAATTACTTTTAAAAAAAAAAAATAATATAAAAAATAATATTATATAATTAATTTATTTTTTACTTTTCATTCGAGAGTTATATTTAAAATTTCACTTACTCTTATTTTTTATATTTTTATTATATTAGTATTATTTAAAATTTCACTTACTCTTATTTTTTATATTTTTAATATTAATAGAATTGATAAAAATAATTTATAAATAAAATTAAAAGGCGTAAGATACGATGTCACATCAAAGCTAAGAGGAAGACAAGCTTTAAGGGGTCCCTTGAATTATTGGATACGTGGAGTTTTCTGGTAACTTCACTGGCATTTTTTATTTTTATTTTTTTCTTTTTGTGTCGACTGTCGAGTGCTTACTCCACTTGATGGTTGAGATATCCAATAATCAGTCCGGATATTTTCTTATAAAACAACGACGCTTTCTTTGTTTCAAAAATACAACGACTTAGCTTGTAACTCCTGAAAATACACAGCAAGCGTACTCGTGGGTAAGATGAGCAAAACTGAATAAAAATGATTGAACCAAATAAATCCAATCAAAACTAAAGAAATTATTAGTAAGGTTTGGTTTAGTTTTATAAATTAAAAAATTGAATGATTTGATTAACGTTTCAATTTTTTTCCTTTAAAACCTTACCCAAATTTGAATCGTACCTTGTTTATATTTTTAAGTGTATTTTTTATAATTGAAACCTTAACTAAATTTGAATTGTACCTTGTTTATATTTGTAAGTGTATTTTTTATAATTAATATTAGACTATTAATTAATATTTATTATTTTTAAATTTTAACCTCAATTAGTTTAAGTCCAAAATATTTTAATAGAACTCCTAACCTTACTTTTTAATTTTGCCAATTTCTTTTAACGTAAAAGATGGTCCAATCTAAGGAGAGGTATATTGTCATTATTAACTAAAGAGAGTCAAATACTTCACTATATGTTATTGAAACATGTTTTCCTTTTATTGAGAGTCAAATATTAAGAGTCAAATACTTTTTTAAAAAAGTACACATTTAATTTTTTTAACTTTACACAACATTTTGGCTGAAAAAAACACTTTACACAACATTTCATTTTAATCTCTTAATTTTTAAAGTATTTATTTTAGTTATTTAATCTTAACATTGTTAGTTTTATACCAATAAATTTTTACATTGAATATTTAAATATTAATAAAAAATTTTCAAATGTTGACATATTAAATTTATTTTTTCAAAATATCAATAATTGATATAGAAAATAATCATTTAAAACTAATAAAATTAGGTTTAAAGGATTAAAAAGATACTTTACAAAATTAAATGACTAAATTAAAATCTTATATAAAGTTAGAGGACTAAAACTATAGTTTAACCATTGATTTAGAATAAGTTTCTTTTCCTTATAAATATTAAGATAATTTGTAATGAAATATAACCGGTGTTAATGTACTTATAATGCATATACTCTGATATTTATTAATAACAAAATTTAATTTTTATTTTTAATATGATATTCATTTTCATTTATAAATAATAAAGTTGAGAATGTGACTTGATTTTGAAATATAAAAAGAAAAAAGGAGTCAAAAAATATTGAAATTTGATTTATGTATATCCTAAATCAAACCAAACTGTATAAAAATCAAACTAAATCATTCTTAATAAAAAAACTGATGGAAGTATTATTTTTTGTGCAAACTGATTGATTTGATTCATATTTTAATTAAAACCGAATCAAATCATATCTTTAATCATCCTTAAACTCGTGGGCAGTCTGCTGAGAAAGAGGGCATGCTGCTACAGTTTGATATTAACGTTATTTGAAAACCGCGCATTGAAATTAGTGGGTTAGTGAAAAAATTACAAATCTTAATAGGGATTACTTTTGAGATATAATAAAAATATGACGATTCGTTTTTAAAACGTGATAGTTTAACGTTGAATATTTTAATATTTTCTGGAAATTAAAAATTTCATTATAAAAATTTTTTTATGCTGTTTTCACTTTGGATATAATAATTATTTAATCACGTTTCATATTTATTATTGCATTATGTTGATCTCGTGAAACAAAAAATTATTACATAGTAAAGACAATTATTTAATTTTGTAAAATACTTTCATTATTATTTTTATTGATATTCTTTCTCTCTGCAATTATTCTTGCAATCAAATGACAGTTAAATCGCGTTAAGCAAAGCATGTACGCAAGGCTTGCATGCGCCCGCATGTGTGTATAGATGAACCATGTTTATAATTTCTTTAAACAATAAAATAAATCAAGTGTAAATATAATTTTTAATCCCTATACTTTACTCGGCTTTTGGTCCTTATATTTCTTTTCACTGTTTTAGATTTCTATATTTTTATTTTTCATTATTTTCAATCCCTTTAAAAGCAAAGTATAAGAACCCTGAAAGGATTCAAAACAATGAAAAATAAAAGTATAAAAACTTAAAATATAAAAAAAAATAATAGAAATCAAAAGCAAAACATGAATAAAGTATAGAGATTAAAAGTTATATTTACCCATAAATCAATTACGTATACAATAAGGAGACGCGCATGAGTACAAGAGATCTTTGAGTAACTTCAATTCAACCTGATTCTCATTATACCAATCAGATTAAGAGGGACTAAATGAGTAAATCACGTTGGCATAAAAAAGGATGAAAGCGTTAACCATGAGTGACCGAACGTCCGATCGATCAATGAAGGGCAGAGATGGGAATTGACGATACACAAGTTAACCCAAGTAGAGATGGATGCGAACAAGAAAAAAGAAGATGCAAATGAGAACAAAGTAGAGAGAGGCATGAACGATAATGGAGAGTCCACTGGTCCCGAAACTCCCAAACGCCACAATCTTCCCATTTCCAGGTATCTGTATCAGCAAGCCCGGTGTTAACAGTATGAACAGCACCACCGCCACAAACACCGGCCCCCAGTCCGCCATCTTCTTCTTCTTCTTCTTCTTCCTCTTCCTTCTGTGCCTACTTTCAGGTAGCTAGATAGGTTTGGAACTGAACCACACTACTGCAACGCATTCATATATATAAAGGAGACATTCAGAGATAGTCTCTCTTTTGGAAGAACACACACAAGTGACTGATGACGAGGAAAAGGCCAAAGTTGGTTACCCGATGTGAACCTATACCCATTCAAATCTTACAGATTTATGTGCATGAGATCAGTCAACCACGCACTTGCTTTTAAAGGATATGGATTGTATCATTAAAAATCCACCTGATTTTCTTTTTATTATAACCAATCTGGACTTTAGATGTAAAGGAGCTAAGTGAGGACGTGCTAGCTTTTTGATTGCTTACTAATTAATCATTCTTATAATTTCAGATATATATATCTATTTACATATTGTTGCATTTTTATGACACAAAAAAATTGATACCGACTTGTCTTTACTTATTATTATTGTTATTATTATTATTATTATTATTTGTATTCATGCCACTTGTTGAAATTTTTTTAATAAAATACTTTCAAAATTGTTATTATGAAAAATATAGTTGCTGATTATGGTGGCGATTTCATTAAAGAAAGTTGCTTAAAGCTATCCAATTATTTATTTTATTTTTTATAAAATAAGTCCATGAAGATAAAGCAGACTTTTTTATGCGTTGCGTCGCTCTGGAAAGTCATATATATGTTAAGCCAAGGTAAAAAAAAAAAAAAAGTTTCCTGATAACTAAGTTTATAGTTTATGAGAATTGGCAAAATATATTGACTTGTTTGACTTCAAGATACTATGATTATAGAAGCGGAATATAAAACTTACCCCTCATGCATGCATTTAATCAATGAACTTGTTTTGATGGTGCCAAATTTATTTGAACGGACGAATCCTTCACAACAAATGGAAAATTTGGAGTGTTGTTCGTGTGTAAATGTAACATCCTGATTTTTATATAATAAAAAATTGTGAAATTTAGGTTTTAAGGAAAAAAAATGATAATAATAGGAATTTATATTATTTGAGATTATTTAGAAATAATATTATGGTTAGGTATTTAATTATGAATTTAAAAATTTAAATTTAAAACCACATAAGCAATATTTAGTTAAGATATAATACATAAATAATTTTTTTTATGTGTGTGTTAAAAAAAAAGAGAAGGTAGAAGGAACAAAAAAAAGGGGGTGGAAGGTTGTTGTTTCTAAGTCCCACATTGATTAGATGAGGGAAGAGAAGAGGTGCCTTCATGTATAAAAAGGAGGGGGTGTGTGCATTAGGAAGCATGAGAGGCTAAGATGCAATTTAGAGCAAATTGCAACTTTTGGCCCAAAGGTTTGAATAATTAAATTCAAACCTATAGTTTTTTTTTAATATAATTTTGGGACTCACAATCCCAGTTTTTATATTATTTTTCTCTCTTCCTCTCACGTTGCTCGGCGTTTTCTCGCAAGGGAGGATTATTTTCTTTTTCTTCAGGTATGTTCTAACTTTCCTGTTTAGATTAGTATTTAAAAATTTATTTAATTACAAAATTAATTTTATAGTTATTTTCTAAATAATATTAGCTTTCTAGTGATATGATTATTCTATAGGATAGAGTAAATATTTTGATTAGGATTTTTCTATAGGATAGTTAATCTGATGATATGATGGATTAAAAATATAGGTTGAAACTCTTAGGGATATAAAAAATATTACAGAATATTTTCTTGAGGTTGAAACTCATGTTTAAGAATTTTTGAGTTAAAATCTAGATCTATATGGTTGAATTTATGTGGAATCTGAGATGTAAGGATAAACCTATGATTATTAAATATTTATTTAAGTATGAATAGGTATTTTTGAGGTTATAGAAAGGTGATTTGAGGCTTCAGGATAATTCTAAATTTTTAATTTATTTTTGGATGAATTTTTAGAATATAGAAGGATGAAATTGTGATACTAGAAGTGAATTGAGGATAAAAAAAAATAGTTCATTAGGGTACGAGAATTTTAGAAAAGAATTTGGGAAGTTAAATGAGGCATAAATTTTAAATTAGTGTTAATATGGACTATAGATCTAAGACTTTCTAACTCTTTAAATTAGAGTTATTTATTTTAATGTAAAATTAATATATAGTATTGTGAAATAATTATGTAGATTATATTGACAAAGATAGTGGTGAAAAAGGAGTTGTGAAGGGGAACTTGTTATTCAAGACACAATGTAACCATTATTAATGTGTTGTGATGGGTGTGTTTGTGAATGGTTATGTGTTGTTTTGTTGTTTGAAAAAATTATGAATTATTGAAAATAAATACTGTTATATACTTCCATGAAATCATTGCCAAGTGGGTTAAAAATTTATTTTTGTTTATCATGATGAGATATTATTGTTCAGATATATTTCTGTTTGGATATTTGAATGATGCATGACTTGTCAGGGTATTTTAATGTATGGTGTTAATGGAAATTTCTGTTCGGTTAATTATTACCACGTGGTAAGCCCTCATTGGACCCAATGAGTGGCGTGTCGCTTGGTCCAACTCACCTTTGGCCGGGTGATTTGGCGTCCGAGCATGGTGAAAGGAGGATATAAGGTGCAGTCATGCAAATTAAATACTTGTTCGGTTTGTTTGAAAGTATTGTTCGGTTAAATGTTTTGTGTGCCCACTTAGCAATCGCATGATTAGTTACATCCGCATGCATCATTACATATTAATTTTTGGTTACTGGGACTTTTAAGTCTCATTCCCCGTGGTTAACATTTTTACAGGAGCGAGTCCGGCCGAGAAAGCACCAGAGGTGTAACTATAGTGTATGAGACACCATCTTTTACGTTGCCTCTTATTTTGGATTATACAATGTATCTTGTGCCAACTTAGGACATATCTTCTTTGTGAAGCATGTAAACTCTAATCCTTTTTATTAAAAGTATTTATATGACCAAGAGGATTATATCTGTCCCTCTTGATTCATGACCTGATTTAAATATCATGCCATGAGGATCCTGTCTGTCCCTCATAGTTCTAATTGTTTTTTTTTGAGATATTTTAAGACTTGTGGTATATTGTCTTGGATGTACCATGGTAGAAATTTTTCTACCATGATAAGGGTATGATGAGGGTTCAATGAAAAAAATGATTTATTGAATTAATGATTTGCGAAAAATCAGTTTGTAAATTTGAGGGTGTTACAGTAAATAATAAATAACTAGGTGTGACAAAGATGCTGAGTCTCAATTATAACAAAAGGGTCTCGAGCTCTCTTACTACAGTTTATTCAGATGTGAAAAATATGCAAAACTTGATAGAACGAGTGTTTTTGATGTTTATTGAAATGTAAAAGATTACAAGTTTAAATTAAAGGTACAAATTAACTGCTAAAATTAAAAAGCTAAGAGTGCAGAATGTGAGTCTTTGTTGAGTATTGACTGTCCTTCTTCTGTATTTTCATATCTTATTTATAGTTAGAGTAATGGTAGTCTCTTCCTTAAGACCTAGAACATTCTGTCAAAGAATTAGGGATCTTGCGAGACTCATGACATGATCTTTACTCAGTGTTTCTTATTTTTGACAATCAGCCCATCTCACCAAAATACTTGGGCATGATGTCCGTGACTTTTGAAATCACTTGGGATCGTGTCTTTATATGCCAATAGTTCAATGTTTGCAACTGGTGAGATTTCAGCATGTTCATTTTATCGTGGCCTTCTATTGAGCTCAATGCTAGCCCCTTTATTTAGATTGGGCTTGACTCTTCAGTTACTTAGCTCGAATAGCTTTGTAACTTATTGAGCGACGTTTTATATTTTAACCCAAATAAATGCAAAGAGGGGCAAGGTTAAATTTGTTTTTTTCCTTATAAAGGAAACACAGATTTGAAAATAACTTATCTAGTAGTGATCCGAATAACAAATTAAAGTGACACTTTGGAGGATTATTTTGCAAGGGACCAGGAAAAATATATAGTAGAACAAAACATATGGGGGATGATGACAATACGAATGAAATCGTCAATAATATTTGAAGAGAAAATGTGAAAGAGATTGATAAAAAGAAATTGTGTTCTTGTCAACTTTACACCCAAAAAGTGAGCTAGTAATAGTATTATTGAGTGTTGCTCGATGAAGAGAATAGATAAAGATAGAAAGATGATAACGATCACCATGAAAGAGTTGTAGGAGTCTATTAATTATATGTTAATATTAGTGATGAATTTAAAAGTCATTGAAAGTGTAAGATTTGAGATGAATATATATACTCACTCTAGTTTTAATTATAAAACAATGTTTTAAAGTCATATTTGATCCTAAATATGAGGCAAATGTATATTCTCTCCATTCAAAAATTATAAAGTATTTTTTGAGAGATTGAATGTTAAAAAATATAAAGCATTTTTAATATTTTAAATGTAATTAATGCATTTTTTCAAAAATGCCATAATAAATAAATCACCTTATAAATGAAAAATAAGGGTAAATATAAAAAAGTAGTATTAATTTAAAAATAATTAACTATTTTATTGAGGGTAAGATTCAATTAATAATATTCTATATTTTTTGAACTATGGGAGAGTATTAGTTATTTTTTCCATAATATCCCTTCTTAAATATATCACCAAAAGTTATAAATTCTTAGAAACACTTTATCGTGGTTATTAATTTTGGTGAATGATAAAACTGGAAAGTCAAATAATTTTTACAAATTAAAAAATATTAACTACTATTTTTTAAAAACCGTTAAGTTAATAACTTTGGTTTACTGGTAGGATCAGAGGGTACATGATTTACTCACGAAATTGCCTGTCAGTCAAAGCTAGTGGCTGAGATACCAAGTCATATGAGTGATAATATACCCGAATTCATTTGGTTATTTTTTCACATGTAATATTTTAACTTAATTAAACTCAATTTAAACCAACTAAACGAGAATAACTAATTAAAATACAAGAGATCATGCTTACAGTAATTACCAGGAAACTCGCTCCAAGCTGGTAAAACCCTAGCCACTAAAAGCAAAAACAGAAAGAGGAAGCAGAAGTGAAAGGAGATCGGGAGTGAAGATATACACGTAGAGATGATAAATTAGTTAACCCAAATACAAGTGGAAGCCAATAACAAAATAGAAGAGGCAAATGAGAGCAAAGTAGAGAAAAGAATGAACGAGAATGGAGACTCCACTGGTCCTGAAATTCCCAAACTCCACACTCCTCGTCGTTCCGGGTATCTGTATCAGCAAGCCTGGCGTTAACAGTATGAACAGCACTACCGCCACAAACACCGGCCCCCAGTCCGCCATCTCCGTCTTCTCCGATCCTCTTCCTCTTGATCTCTCTCTCTTTCAAATTGCAGCTTTTAGGTGCGTAGCTAGGTTGGAATGACAGTACTGCAAAAACAACTTGGTCTTATAAAGGAGACATGGAGAGATATAAAGTAGAGGGTGTAATCAAGGGACTGGTATATGACGAGGGAAAATCCAAAGTTATTGGTCGCACAAGATGAACCTTGTATGCTCCCATTCAAATTTTAAGAGGATGACACATGCATGAGACCGGCCAGTCAACCACGCGTTCTTGTAAATTAAAGGATATGCATTATAATGTAGAATATTATCCACTTTGGAATTTGGATAACCAAGGAGTAAAGACGCGCTTTTCGATTGCTTAGTAATTAAACATTCTCGAGCTTGCAAATTCAGATATCAATTTACATAATTGTTCTGATCAATTTTTCTTTACTATTTCTTATGGCTGCAAGAGTATTTTTACTATAATTAAAAAATTGATACCCACCTGTCTCTAATTGCTTATTAATGTTTATTTTTTTTTAATAAACTACTTTTGGAAGGTTATAAATGATATGGTGGGTTTTTTAAAAAATAAAAAAAAAGGTTGCTTAATTAAAAAATATCCAGGTACTTTTAAAAGAGAGAGAGACACCAGACAACGAGGCTAAAGCAGACATTTTCATATGGGAGAATTTCAATATAATATCATCGATGGAACTTTATTTCAAATCAAACCCAATAAATTCTGAAAATTCACCGGGTGACTAAGATACTTAATTGAAAATATGTAAGTTTTTGAAGGGAAATGACCATATGTCTTTTATTATTATTTATTTTTTTTAAAAGAAGTCCTCCTCCTTTTCTCTTCTTAAGTGTTGGGGCCTTAGTTTTAGATCAACCCTAGGTGAATTTAGGATTGTTGGAATTGTGTGACCTAAAATTAAGCATGAATTAATGTTGTATATGCTACATTAAGATAAGGTGAGGATGTAAAAGCTTTGACTAGTTCAATGGTAGATATTTGGATTGTTGGATAACTAAATTTAGTTAATTTAGCTAATGAGTGCTTACGTTACATATGACAAACTAACATATAGTGCTTAAAATTGTAGATTTACGTAATTTGGTACTCCTACTAGTCATCGGGACTATTGGAGCAAACACTATACCATGGGTAACCCTTTTGGTAAAAAGTGGTTAAAATAATTGAATAATTCATTCTATCTATTAATTAATTTTACTGTGTGATTTTAATGAGCATGATTTGTAAATTTGCATGATTTGACATTGAAGTTTATAAATTAAGTTATTTGTGAAAGTATTGTGTGTTTGTGTGTGTGTGTGTGTGTGTTTTCTATACTTGAAAAATGCAATATGTGTGTGATCATGATGGTGGGATTTTCACCAATGTGTGTGTTGGAGTGTGAAAAATTCATATGGTTGGACTAATACCAAGATACCCACAGTGCATCAATTATTTAGGGGCTGTTACCATGAACAATTTGGGCAATCAGCAACTCTCTAGTGCTTATAAAGGTACAGTTATGAGTCAACGACACCCTAATCATATGTGCGATATAAGAAATCCATAGTTCAAAAGTGGAATAGAATGTCTTGGCTAGATGATTTTACTATTAAAGATGTGCTCGGGTCAATGTACATAAAATTGGTCCAGTAAAATCTATAGGTTCAATTGAGGAACATGGAGGTTTTGATGGATAAATGATGATACGAGTATATAAAAATCATTTGATGGGAATGAATTAACACATATTAATATATATATATATATATATTTATGTAGTATGAAGTTGAGAAAATAATGTTTTATTTTCTTGTCTATAGTTATTCCTATTGATAGATAGTTTTAAATTATTTTAATTACTAAGACATTGTCTCACTCCATGGATTTATACTTTTACAAGTTTTAAAGTTGAGAGGAGACAAGGAAAAGAGTTGGGCCAGGAGTAGTTGGTCTACTTTCTGTGTAATGCCCTTATTTTATGTTTGGTGTACATGAATTTACATGTCAACATATGGTTGCCAATTAGGGATTTCATATGTTCTTGCATGATGCTTGTATGAGTGGTGTAATTGATATCTTAGCCCGAGAATGTATGTTTTAGGATACATGTATAAGGGCCAAAATATTAGTATAACCACTAAGTTAGTATATGCTTATTTGGTTGAACTGTGCTTATAATATATGTTGTGGTATTTTAGCATAATGTGTATGTTTGGAAAAAAAACATTATAGAAATATTCTCAAATAAGAATACAAGTGTATGTTATGATGATTAGATGTGATGCGTGGTGAAGATTTAGCCTGGTGATGAAATATGAAGAATTTTATAAAATTACTCTATTATGTGATATCAAGGTCTTATGTAACCAAATATTATGTTTGATGCGATATTATGTGATTACTTGATCATACATGTATATATTGATCCATTGGATTTGATTCAAGCTCAAAATTGAGTTAGTAATATAAGTTTTAATATTTGAGCACTTGGATGCCTTATATTGGTAATAAAATTTGACTTTTGCATCTGAGTATTCAAATTTCACATACGATATCAGATCGTAACAAAAATTATTCCATTAGTTAGATTATTGAAATAAGCTTCATATGGCCACTTGAATTACTCTAATCAAATATCAGATGTGAAAATAATGCATGTTGAAAGTTCGTCTTGAAAAACTATCATGATAACAAAATACTGTCATGACATGACATGTGCGCCACTGCATGTGGCACAGTAATGAACTTAAGTTCTCTATGCCATATGCCACAGCATATGTGTTAGCATGTGTTGAAATGACATTTTTTACCCTATTTTGCTATAATTTATTTGCTTTTATCTACTATGCTTTCCATAATTTTAAATATTAATTAGTTTAAGCTCAAACTACATATTTAAAAGGTCTTTCTTGATATCCCAAAGTTTTTCAATTATATTTCAAATATTTAATTATTTTAACTCTTCTGTAACTACGGTAAGCTTAGGAGGGATTGATGGTTCCTAATTACTGTTGTTTGTTATAATTGTGTGTTGAATATTAGTAATGTCAGGGTGAACATTACAAGCAATGTATTGAAAAAGATTCCTAGGAAGATGAAGAAGTTGGCAATCACAAAATCAACTTTGCACATTTTAAGGAAGAAGACAATGTAGAGAATCGACAGCTGGTGATGATGAGAGAAGCGAAAGCGAGCAAGTTGGAGGCAGACGAGGAGGTGGACCAAAATTTTCCTTTAGTTCTTTCTCGCTCTATCTGTCTATGGCAAGCTTCTCTCTCTATCTTTGGTTGGTTGCCTCAGCTATGATTGGAGGGAACAATCTTCCGAATGGCTTCAACTTTAATGGGGAGAACTCTTGGAGCAAGTTTTCAAGGTCAATCAGACATATTGAAATGAGAAGAGAAGGACTCCTTTTATATGGAAAAAAAAATGATAAAGGGTATTATAGTCATTTTATAACATCTAAAAAATTTTAACCCGAGACTAATTAAACTAATCAAGGATAAGTGAGTAATTTTAGAGGAATATTTAGAGATAAATAATTTTAATTAGGAGATTATTATTTGGATTTAATTTAGATACAATCTTAAGTTAATATTTTTTTAAAAAATAATAATAATAATAGTAAAAAAAGAATAGCAAAGGGGTGGGGTAAACGGTTTACCGTGTGTGTTAGTGTGTAAATATTATTATTAAAAAAAAAAAAGGAAAACAAGGAGAAGACGGATTGGACAATCTGTGTGTCTAATGTATTTAAAAAAAAAAACGAAGAAAGGGCGAGGAGGGAAAGGCATGAGACCCATATATATATATATATATATATAACAACGCACACAATTTCTTTCTTATTTCCGTCCCCCCCCCCCCCCACCCCCCTCTTTTTTAATTGCCACTGCGGGTACGAACAGAGAGAGAGCGAGAGCGTGCGTCCATCAACAACAGGGAGCTGAATTAGAAGGTAGAATTTTATAATAAAATATTTTAAATAAAATTTTAAGTATTTTAAAATTATTTAAGTGTCCTAAATATTTTTCTTAATCATTTTGACTCCTTAGCTTCTAATTTTCAGATTATGCAAAATATACGGTTTGAAAAAAAAAAGAATTTTTGATAAATGAATTTGGTTATTGAGGTTGTTGGTAGTATAATAAATATTTAAAAGTATTTTTTTTTGATAAAAGTTGAATTTGAGGCCTTTGAGTTAATCCATTAACTTACGGTTAGATTTTTAGTAAATCTAAAATTATAAATTAATTTATTAATTACTAGAGGATTATTTGGAAGTCAAAGTAAATTATTAAAGCTATAAAATGATGATTCTAGGTTTAAGACTATGTTTATAATTTTTGAGTATTTTTAAGTACGAATTTATAGAATAAAAATGAAAATTTTAATATTAAAATATTGTTTAAAGGATGATTTTAACTAAATTTCAATGAAACTATTATGAATAAAGCTATTGAACTAAGTTGATATGTTTAAATACACGAAGTTAAATTTTAAAACTCAAGAGACTAAGATTAAAGTCTTAAAAAGAAAAATAATAAAAGAAAATAAATATCTAAGTGTTGGAATATGAGTAAAAATTATTTTAATAATATTATTGATACATTATGATATGATTAATTGTAGTTAATTGTCATTTGGCACCAATCAAGCTTTGAAAAGCTTTGAAAGTGATGTAACTTAAGAAGTAACCTTTGACCTCTTAAAATTTGAGGGAACTGGGAGAAATTTATATTATACATTTGTGTGTTAATTAATTATTTATGTTTGTAAAACAAATAAATGTGTTTGTGTGTATCCAAATCTTAAAATTGTTGTTTGTAATGCTTATGTGACCTTGTTAAGATCCTATAATTAGTAATCAAATTAATTGGGGCACATGTAAAGAATTTAAGTATGATGGTCATATGTGGAGAAAAAGAAATGAATAAAAAAGCTTGCATGTAATGTGAATTGTTAATATTAATTTATGCTCTCATAGGATAATGTGATATGATTTGAGTAATGAGATTTAGAGTTAATGATAATGTGCATATTTTTGATTATAAATTGTAGATTATATATGGTGATAAATTGTATATAAGTATGTTGAGTTTTTATATAATGCTAATGTGATTTATGTGGTAATATGAAAATTGATGCATGAGGCATAATTGAGATATGATGATTTTTTATGCTTGTTAAGCAATAAAATTGATGAA